GTAAATGTCCTCTTCCTCCCTCCTTTCCTTCCTGGGGGAGGCCACTGCCAGGCCCTCCCTGGAGTCCCTGGGCTGGCTGCAGTCACCACCTTTAAGCACAGACTGTCCCTCTCTCTTTGTGCCTCGGTTTCCTGCTCTGTAAATGGGCATTCTCCTGCCACCTGGGGCCTGAGGTGAGTGGCAGATGTTGGCTCGGGGAAGGGCCATGTTGGCCACCTGCCCGCACCCACGTGCCTGCTGGCCTCACTTCTGAAGCAAACAGCCACTACTGTTCCTAACACTCATTGTTCCTAACACTCACTAGGACTCTGGGTGGTGGGCAATATTGTCCACATTCTACAGCTGAAGAAGCCAAGGATCACAAAGGTCAAAGTCCCTGGATGTGGGGCAAGTTGGTAACAATAAAAATAGAGAAAGCAAGGTCAGCTGGCCTCTGTTGAGCACTTCCTCTGTGCTGAGCCCTTGATCCGCTCTGCCCATCTAACCCTCGCAGCAGCCCCAGGATGTAGAGGCCACACCCACCTCCATTTGATAGTGTCCGTGGCAGGCCTAATGGTAACAGGTGACACAAGGTTGTACAAGGGCAGCCAGCTCGGCCGTGGTCACACAGCCTGCCCGTGGTCGCACAGCCTGCTCTGACCCTAGGGCCCACGGTGGGCCAGGGCCGAGCTATGCCTCTGCCTACACAAGGAGAGGTGTGTCTGTGCAGTGCCCAGGTCAGGGAGGAAGGTGCCTTCCCTTTCAGGACTTCAGGCAGGGAGTATTTGAGGCCCGAGAATGCCTTTCTTTCTGAGACCAGCTCTTCGGTTGGCTGTTTCTCTTTTCACCCTGGATGCTAGGAAGCTCGGATCCCATGACATTTTCATCATACTAGTTCCTTAATGAACCCTAAGGATTAGAATACCTGCTTTCTCTTTTTCTTCTATCCCAATTTCCTCTCCAACCTGCTCATACTCATCTTTTACTGTATGGAAGGCATCTCGTCATACACGCTCGCACACACTTTCCTGCCTTCCACACACTCTTGACGCTTCTCCCCCTACCCACCCCGCTCAGCCCAGCACAGGGATGGGGAGCAAAGGGCCCGCCCACCCCCAGGGGTTCCACCGGGCCACGCCGGGTCCACCACAGGGTCCTCACCAGTCCTTATAGAAGCGCCGACGGCACTCATCACTGAGGTGCTCTGCAAAGATGGTCTTGAAGCTCCGCAGGCCTCGAGGGGTGGCCACGTAGCCCACGACACCCACCACCACCAGAGGTGGAGTCTCCACAATCGTCACTGCCTCCACCTCCTCCCGCTTGGAAATTTCTGGATGAGACCCAGACATGGGCGTGGAGGGGAGCCTCCAGGGCCCGCGGGTAAGGATAGAGTGGGAGAGCAGCACCGCCCCCCCCCCTCCCCGCAGCCTGAAGGAGGATGATGCACCACAGCCCCAGGACTGCTGGGGACAAAGGGCTTCTCAGCCAGAGCTGCGGCTAACCTCCAGCCCTCAGACTGCCTGCTCCCAGCTTGTTCTCTCCTTGCTCAGCGGAGGCAGGCGCAGCTGCTGGTCAGAGCCCCACAGGAGGTCCCGTTAGCTCTGACGCTGAGGTCTCAGGCAGGGCCTGACCTCTCCCCTGCCTCCGTTTCCCCACCAGGCCTTCGGGGAATGGACTAGGAGAGCAACAGCCAGGGCGGCATTCCGCAAACGATGGGGTTGGGCTTGCTTTAGTCAGGCACAAATGATCATTTTTTAATCTTAATACTTAAAAATGTACATGGATGAGATCTAGGGGAAAACCTGTAACTTGTCCAAAACACAATTTTGCTGACTTTACTACAGAGGCTGATACAAAGTAAAAGAAGTATATGCTTAAAAAATATATATTAAGAGAAATAAAAACAGGTGAGTGGCTGCCAAAAGGTTGGGGGCGGGTGACTGTGGCTGTGAAAGGGCGCCGGGGAGCTCGTGGGGGTGGAACGCTCCTCGGCGGTGGTGCACCCGGGCCACATGGCAGAGCCACAGCTAGATGCCCCTGCGCGCACACAAACGCAACTGGGGAAACTCGGGCCAACGAACAGGTTTCCATCGGGGGCAACTGGGTGAGGGGTACATGGAACCTCTCTCTGCCATTTCTTACAACCACATGCGAATTATAATGATCTCAAAACGAGAGCACAATTGGATGCCTCCTAGCTCCTCCACTTACTAACTAGGCCACAGGAACGTTTTATAACTGCTCCATTTCCTCATCTGGAAACCAGGGACAATGACAGAGCCCACCTCAGGGGTGGCTGGGGGCCAGCGGTCGGATGGTCATCTTCTGACTGCTGTTCCCACGGGCAGGGCCTCCCCATTTCTGGGGCCTTTTCCCCTCTTACAGTCCGATTCCGATACCTAGCACTTGAAAGTTTCTCTAGATCTTCTCCTAGAGAGGGGAGCTGTGTCCAAATTCCACCCCCCCGCCCCTGCCATGTGTCCCCCTGTGGCCACTCACTGAGCCCCGGCCGATGCACCTCTCGCAGAGTGTGTGTCATGCCGGCCTTGTAACCCAGGAAAGCTGTGAGGTGCACAGGCCGGCTGGGGTCATCCCGAGGCCACGTCTTCACCTTGCCCCGGTGCCGGCGGCTCCTCTTGTGGGGCAGGAAACCAAGATGTCCATGCCGAGGAGCAGAAAACTTTCGGTGGGACTGGGGACAGGAGAAGATGGAGGTCAGAGCTGGGGTCGACCTGGTGAAAATGGCTGGATGGCCCCGAGGCCTGAACTGGAGAAAGTAGCTAGAGGCCCTAGACTGAGGCTCAGTGGTCTTCACTGCCTCTTATTTGTCTGCAGGAAAGGAGGTTCGTCTAGGGGCGGTGTCTTATGAATGGAGCCAGCACCAAGCCCTCCTCATCCACAGGCTTCCTGCCTTAGTGGGCTCAGCCTGGCTGGGCCCAGAAGAGGTAGGCCCACACTGTGGCTAGGGCTACGAAGATGGGGGGGCCGAGCTCTGGCCCCTGCAGTTCCCTCCAATCCCCTAATCCTGCATGAGCCCAAGGACTATCCCTGCTGGGTGAGATTCCAGGAGCCCACCTGCCCCTCCCCAGGAAGCTGGCTTGCTCCACCTCCAGCCCCCCAGCCCACTGACCATGGCAGCCGGTCCCTGCAGGTCAGGAAAGAAAGGGGCCTTCCTGCCAGGTGCTGGAGGTCGAGTGGCAGGGCCAGCATGCACACAACAGCCAGATCCCAGATTTAGCCCCTGGCAGGGAAGTTTGGTCATCTCCCTTGGCAGGCATGAGCTCTGGTGCCAGGAGATCGCTTGGCCTGGGCGGGGCTGTGGGGGACATCAAATGAACAGCCTGGGGTGGGGACACTTGGAGTCAGGGCTGGCACTCCTCTCCTCAAGGGCCCTGGGACTGGGTCACACACACTTTGTTTTCTTTCTTGTGAAACCCACTCCCAGAACAGGAACAACCTGGCCTAGTGACAGGCAAGGAACCCCGGCTGGTGGGCTTCTTTCATAGAGCCGCCCAAGATGAGGGTTTGAGTCCAGTCTGCTGGCCCTGAGGCAGAGAAGATTCCTGCCCTGTCTTGTCCTGAGTGCTGTGAGCCTGGGCTGGGGAGGGTTGGCTCTGTGCCCACAGGATCACCAGGGCCCTGACTCAATATCAGGGTCCCTTGACAGTAATAGCTGTGATCCAAGAACATTCAGATACTGTCATGAACCGAAGTTTCGAATGAAAAGGGGATTGAAATCTCTTATTTTTTGATTCACAGATTCTATAGTTATAATGTTCTGTAGCCGTAGAAACAGAGTTTTATAGGCCTAAGATGTCTCTGAGGGTCTGTGGATTTTGTGTGACTCAGTGTACGATCCTGTTCTATTCAAATGTCATGATTCTTTCTTTTTGTTGTTTTTTAATTGCAAAGCTACTTTTAATACTTTAGGGGTAACCTCTTCTACCACGGGAGTGGCCCCAGAGATAGAAGCTACCTGATGGAAGAATGCACAGAAAAGACCAATGTAGATTCAGGGCAGAGAGAATGCCACCAGTGTCAGAGTGTCGCCGGGCCCTCAGGGTGCGGTGGGACGTGGTCCAGACACTCAGGCCAAGGGCAGGAGGCTTGGATACCAAGCCACAGAACCACTGGGGGTCTTCCTTCTCGTTTGCCTTTTCTGCTTCTGCTGCATGATCTTTGAGTCCCTCCACTCCCAGGCAGCAGCTCAGCCCTGCCTCCATGGGGTCCCCTCTTTCAGTCCCATGTTGCAGGCCAATCTGAGGATTCTTCAGGTCTGACCTGTGTGCTTCTAGGAGTTCATGATTTAAAGAGTTCATATTTCTGTGACTCTGAATTCTGTGTGTCCAAAGAGTTGATGGCTGTATCTCTGATCCCAGCCTTTGGGCAGAAAGTGACCAGCATTTTCCCTGGCACCTGCCAGGGGCTACGCCAGGTGTGGAGATCGCAGAGGGCAGCCAGCAGGGCTCTAGGCAGTGGAGGTGCCTCAAGGACACAACAGTGCTCAGGACCAGGATGAAACCATCAGAACTGGACCAGAGCACCCTGTGCCCAGGATAGAAGCCACTTCTCCCTATAAGTGAGGGCTCTGAGAGGCAAGCTCTGCCTCCTGCTCCGCTCCAGGCAGGCCCCCCAAGCCCACTGGCAGGCACAGTGGAGTGCAGAAAGGGGTTGTGGGGAATAAGCAATCCAAGAAGGCATCCTGGAAGAGTAGTTGGTGTTATTTATTTGCTCTACCGTCCTGAGTTCTCCAGAAGAGCACATTTATTTTATTTCTTGTGTTCATTTTATTTCTTGCTGCACTTGGCAAGGGCTACACGCTGTCGGAACTTAATACTTACTCCTCTATCAATCTCCTTTTGAACTTAAGCAAGGACTCTCCAGAGACCTGGGCAGCATTTGCAATGGCGCTTCAGTCCTAGAGGGGGCGCCCACGCTGTGAGACGGTGCAGGAATCCACACCTGGGCGTGTCGGGAGAACAAGTCCCGTGGTGCCTCGCGGGCGCCTACCTCCCTGCGCAGGCGCAGCTGCCCTCGAGCGTCCTCTGCTGAGGGCGAGGTAGGCGACGGACGGAGGCAGAGGTTGGGCTAGGCGTCCTAGAGGGATCCCGCCGTGAGCCGCGCCATGCCAGATAGCTGGGACAAGGACGTATATCCCGAGCCCCCGCGCCGCACGCCGGCGCCCTCCCCACAGACCTCGCTGCCCAACCCCATCACCTACTTGACGAAGGCCTTCGACCTCCTCGTGGACCGGCCTGTGACCCTCGTGAGAGGTACGGGCTCCACCCGGTCCTCGCCGCTACCCAGTACCCCGGACCCCGTAGCCCAGCCTGTACACCCCGCCGCACCCCGGGCTTCGTTCTCATGACTATCTCCGGCCGGAACCCGGAGCTCCCCTTCGGAGATCTACGGGCCTTGTCGTGTACTTAGACCCCCAACTGCACCCCAGGCCTTGCCTCCCAGACGCACCCGGACCCCTCTGGGACTCTCCACGCACTCCTGGTCTTCAACCTCGCCCGAGAATTAGGGGTTATTAGCGGATCATAATTATGTGTCATGGAGCTTGTTAGACCCCAATCCCCAGCACGCTTTGCATCCTGCTTAGTGCGCAGTAGGCGTCAGAAAACGGGTGTTGAAATGAAGGAGTCCTCCACTAACCCACTACATGCCTGCAATATCACCGGGTTGGTCAGGTGATGGCTGAGGTTTCCCCCCAACCCAGAATTGCAGTGACGACCTTCGTATGTGCTCAGATTCCCCCTCTCTGGTTTGAACCAGATGAATGTTTAGAACAGTTCCTTGTGGCCCAGTTTGTGGTTCAGGCAGCCCTTGGGGCAGCAGCAAGTGTATGCTCTGCTCTCAGTTACTAGTATGCGCCGTGACCCATCCATGTGGACTTTAACTTCATTCATTCAACAACACCTTTGGGGTGCATAGTATGCTCTGGTGGCTCTTGTGTCAGGGAGGATAAAGTCAGCACACCAGACTCCCAAGGTCTGGAAGAGGCACTGCCAAGGGCCCACTCACTTTTTTGTTCAATTTCTTAGAAAGTGTTTCACACGTCTGGATTTCACTAGGTTCAACTTAGTTTTCCTATGGGAAAGTTTAGGCCAGGTCAGTGGCAGCAAAACTGGGACTAGAATCCCGGCTGATGGCCTATGCCTACTCAGTGGGTGTCTGCGACGGTACGGTAGTTGGCTGGCAGGTAGGGTGTAGCAGCCTGGGCTTGCAGAGCCTGGGTTCAGAATCCTGCTTTCCCTCTGTACCTCTGTAAATAAGGACCTGCCCCATAGGGTTCTCATGGGGACACAGTAAACCTAGACATTGCCATCTGTAGCCCAGTCTTTCTCAGGAATGTGCCAGCTGACCCATGAATGAGTCCACTTGCCTGTCTTTGTACAAATTTGGAACATATGGGAAATCTACCTTGCCTGTGGCTTATGAAAAAAGCTAAGAGCCCATCTAAACTATGACCTATCCAAACCAATGGGGCCTTTGAGTCTGGGGTTTTCTCTCTACAGAGTTTATAGAGCAGCAGCATGCGAAGAACAAGTATTACTACTACCACCGGGAGTTCCGCCGGGTGCCGGACATCACCGAGTGCAAGGAAAAGGATATCCTGTGCATGTTTGAGGCAGAAATGCAATGGAGAAGAGACTAGTATGTTCTACCCTCGACTGGGGAATACCGAACCCTGTACAGTGGCGATTATCGTGCTGGACCATCATTCCCTGGGGATGCCCTAGGATGATCAGCCAAGATCTTGGGAGTGGAGGAGCCAGATTACAGAGCTTCGACTCCTGCTTTCCTTCTACTTTCCCTGGGTACAAGGAAAGGATTCCTTGTAGACCACCTTTCTTGTTCTTTTCTTTCAGCAAAGTTGACCAAGAAATTGTCAACATTATCCAGGAAAGGCTGAAGGCCTGTCAGCAGAGGGAAGGTGAGAGCTACAGGCAGAACTGTGCCAAGGAGGTGGAGCAGTTCGCCCAAGTGGCCAAGGCTTATCAGGACCGTTGTAAGTGAGCCTCACCCCAGCCCAGACCCCTCCTGCTTTCCTGCAAGCCAAATTCCCAACCTTCTCTATACTCGTCTCCATAGCTGTGGAATGAAAGTTGCTAAGACAGTGGTCTTCAAATCTATGTACTTGGAATGGTTCATATTGCCCAAAGCTTTAATTAGGTCAGCCTTGCAGGGTATAATGGAATTATCACTGTGCCTCAGGTCCCCTTTCTGCTCAGTACCTGTCTTGCTGCTTGACGTTTCTTGCTGTATTGAAGACCCCTTTTCCCATCATGGGAGAAGTGGCCTGTGACTCCACTCCCCCATCTCTTTCCCCAGATCATGACTTAGGGGCCCACTACTCTGCCAGGAAGTGCCTGGCAAAACAGAAGCAAAGGATGCTTGCAGAGAGAAAAGCTGCTAAAGAGGCTGCTGCTGCTACTCCCTGAGCCCCTCTCATGTGACAGTCACTACTGTTAAATAAAGAGTACTGAAACCTGTTTCTGGTGTCACTTTCAACACTCAACCTTGACACACTGACAAGCCAACAGAAAACAACTATTATTAACAGGCTTAATTCACTTTATTTTCCTTGTACAAAAATTATGTGGTGGCCACAGCTGGAGCTTGGGTCCTCTGCACGGAAACTCTGGTGTGGGTCTTTACCAGATGGTCAGTGAATTCCTGAAAAAACAGATGAGGCTTTAGTTGTCAGACACACACTGCACTTGCACAGGTTACCAAGGTGGTGAGTGGGCTGTACCTGGTAGGGAGACTTGGTGAACACAGTCTCTTTCCAGAGGTCAGGGGTGAGATAGCTGTAGGTCTTAGAGATAGCATCGAAGGTGGCCTTGGCTAGAAAAGGGAAGAGGGATTCGCCCAAAATAAGACCTCACATGTAGACAAAATCTGCCCAATTCCTAGGAAGAGACCCCTTTGTCCTGGTCTCCTGTGCATTAAGGTCTATCGTTTCATGCCACCGCCTACCCCAAATTAGGCAGTGCTGCAAGGCCACAGCCATGCATAGGCCACCTACCAAAGTTGCCCAGGGTAGCAGTGCAGCCCCTGGCTGAGGTGTAGCAGTCGTCAATACCAGCCATCATCAGCAGCTTTTTGGGCACAGGGGCCGAGACAATGCCAGTGCCCCTGGGTGCAGGGATTAGGCGCACAAGCACAGAGCCACAGCGCCCGGTCACCTGGAAGGGAAGGTAGAGGAATCAAGACTGGGGCAGGAGAAAGTCTACCACTGAAGGCCCCATCAGTTTCCACCACCCAGCCTACCTTACAAGGGACGGTGTGGGGTTTGCCGATCTTGTTCCCCCAGTAGCCTCGCCGCACAGGGACAATGGAGAGCTTGGCCAAGATTATGGCCCCACGGATGGCAGTGGCTACTTCCTTTGAGCACTTAACACCCAGACCAACATGTCCATTGTAGTCCCCAATGGCGACAAATGCCTATGAAGAGACTAAAGTGGCTGATGGTCCACTGTACTGCACAGCATCACTGACCACCACTTAGGACCTGTTGCTCCCCTCCAGGAAAGAATGGCCACTTATGAGGCCAATCTGAGGTCCTGAGGAGATCCTTTCTCTCTCTCCCCATTACGAAAGTCACACATGTACAAAAACGTGTAACTACGCAGAGCCGAGAGAGTTTCACAAAGCCTCTTAACAGACACAGCCAGTAAGACACAAAATGACTGGCATACCTTGAATCGGGTCCTCTGGCCTGCACGTGTCTGCTTTTGCACGGGCATAATCTTCAAAACCTCGTCCTTGAGGGATGCCCCCAAGAAAAAGTCAATTATCTCAGATTCCTACAAGAAATGAAATTTGTGACAAATATGTTTAAACCGAACCTCTCAAAGAAAGTGCAGGGGCCCTCAATAGAGCTCATTTCTCCACCCCATCCCAAATGGAACTCCCCAGGGCTGCACCTGCCCAACGCCCCAGGTAAAAGTGAACCCAATGCGTTACCTTGATAGGCAGAGAAAAGAGATAAATTTCCTCCAGGGACTTGATTTTCATGTCCTTGACCAGGCGGCCCAACTTGGTGACGGGGATCCACTGGTGAATGAAAAAGAGCCGATGACGAGGGCAGACAGCTCGGTGCCGTCCCCAGGCCCATCTCGCGCGCATGCCCCAGACCTACCTCCTTATCCTCGGCCTTGCCTCCGCGAGCTCCACGGCCTCGACCGCGACCCCGACCCCGGCCGCGACCTCGGCCCCGGATGCCACTGCCAAATCCTCCTCGGAAGCCTCCTCGGCCTCCCATTCCAGGGCCCCCGGGGCCTCCCGGCCCTCCCGCAGCACCGGCGTCATCCGCCATTTGCTGAAAAAAACGCAACAACAAAAATCAGCGAGACCCAACTATTAGCATCCACCTGGACTAGGGTTCCCACCGGCTACTGAGATTACACCAGACCGATGTCCGCGGACTCCCGTCCCTGGGGCTCTCCGGTCACACAAAACACGGTAAGTACTCACGTGTTCCTTGGGAAAAAGAGAAAATACACCCTCGGAAGAACCTTTTATATGGCACCAAGTGCCGCGAGAACTAGAGTGCACCGCCCTGATCGCGAGTGGTCCAAGGGCCTATAAGACAGCTTGTGATTGGCTACGTGAGGCCTCGCCCCCTCCGAGTTCTTCTAGCGCCTGCGCCTCGTTGGGTCGGGGGGCCCCGGAATCTGTGTGACCACGGCGGAGTCCTATAAATGTTGGCGCCGTCACGACCACGCTTTCTGGTTTTGCAGGTAGGTCCGCTCGTTTACCGGTCAGCTTTTATGTTGGGTGGTGCTCGGGAGACCGGCGTTGGTTGAAAATCACCTGCGGCTCTGACCGTGACCGTGGGTGAGATTCGGCGCCCAGAGTCAGAGGGGACCTTAGCTCACCGCCCACTTGGTGTAGGGAGGTGAAACCCAGGTCCCGACACGTGTCGCGGCTCCGGGTCACGGTGCTGCCTCTCTCGTACTTTGGTGTCAGATCCCTGACCCCGTTTTCTGACCGTAGGACGCCCGGATACCCCAAACCTAAGGCTGACGCTGCCAGGAACGTCGGGCTCGGCTGTCCTAATCTTTCAATAAAGCTGTTGGTCTAACGTGCACGTGGGAGTTTTTGGTCTTCTGCTCTTCGGTTGGGGAAAAGGCATTTGTTGACGCTGGGATCGATGTGTGCTGTGAACGGTACACCAGTGTGGGACACCTTTTTCTCCATGGTAGCCCTATTTTGTTTTGGATGCCACCCAGGGCATCTCCAAGGCTGACGGTTGACTTTTAAGGCCTCACACCCTGTACTTTCGTCATCAGCATATAAAGTAACTTGAGCATGATGGGAGTCAGGTTGGGCCCCCTAACCACTAGCAAGATGGGAATGGAAGATTTACAGTTCAAACAGTGGCTCCCTGTTGCACTCAGGACGGGGTTAGGGTCTTTAAAATTTGAAGGGCTCACCATTCAATGGTGTGGAAATGCACTTCTCTGTGCCTTACATGTGGGAACTTGTCGATTTCTCAGGTTGGAATTTATTTCCCCGTTCCCTTACTATAGGTCTGCCCAGATGGTTGCAGCCTACCTACTTTGGTAAGCTTTCCCACAGGCTAGCTCTTCCTGCTATAGTACTACAGGTTGCATGGGCATCTGCTCCTCATTTCCCTGGTCTGTACTCTGGAATATCGTGGATCTTAGATCCTAAAGTCCCTGAGCTCAGAGGTCTAGCCACCTGGGCAGCACTATTTGAGAGAGGAAAGGGGAACAATCCCTGCATTCTTATTTAAGTTTCAGACTTGGGGAAACTGATCCCGGAAGCTTGATTCCAGGCTCAGTGCTGCTTGGGGATCTGCTGTCAGCCACCATCAAGGCAGGGGCTTCAGGGATCTGGCCCAGGTCTGGGCTATACCTATCCCTCATCTGTGTGCCTTTAGAGAAGGGAGCAAGAGCCATTTGATGCAGGGTCACAGTGGGCCCTTGACCAGGTTGTGACTGGCCTGAATTAGACAATGCCACTGTGATGTCAGCTCACACCCCCTGTCAAATAGAGGCTCTCTGGGCCCCAAGGGTCAGGAGCTGCCGTCCAGACACAGATCATGGTAAGCCCCAAATTCTCTTGCCTCTGGCGCTTAGATTGATACCTGACTCCAGAGACTTCCCCAGAGATGGACCCCAATTCTCACACTAAGGGTGGACAGTGGGTTACAAGCTCCCGAACAGGACAAGGAAACCTTTCAGAGGATTCTGGCCAAAAGTAACTCCAGGCCTAGGCAAGCTTCTCCAGCTGGGAATTAATATTCAAGGGTCTTGACAGTCAACAGCTGTCCCCTCAAAACGGGTGCTGACCCAACCCCCCTCTTGGGGCATTCATGTGGCCCACCTCCTCAAATCTTGCCAGGGAGGGTCTCCTTGGTGTGTGGAGTAGGCAGGTGACCAGATTCTTGTCCTAGCCAAGCCCTGACACTGGCTTGGCCTTTGCAGAGCGGCGGGTATGATCTCAACCTCTTCACCAGCCCTCCCAACAGCAACTTTCTGTGTTCTGTCTGCCACGGGGTTCTCAAGAGGCCGGTGAAGTTGCCATGCAGCCACGTCTTCTGCAAGAAGTGCATCCTCCGGTGGCTAGCCAGGTGCTCTTAGGTCCCCAAGAGGCTGGGAAGGCAGGTGTGGGAACGAGGGCCATTTCTGTAACCCAAGAAAAAGGAAGGTCTGCAAAGCACTAAGTCATCATGGCCATAGGATTCAGGTGCTAAATCTCTTGGGACACTGAAATATGTGGGTCCCCTAACCCTGTGGTATATGCAGCCCCTGGCCCAGACCTCTGAGCTGAGAGCTCCCTACAAAGCCCTCTCGTGCTTCTTTCAGCTAAAGAGAAGGGACAAACATGTTGCCGCCACTACCTCCCTTCCCAATCCTAACACCCCCACTCATGCCTCCTAGAGAAAAGACCTGTCCGTGTTGCAGAAAAGAGGTGAAACGTAAAAAGATGGTCCATATGAATAAACTCCGAAAGGCCATTGGTCGCCTGGAAGTTAAGGTAGCTCAAAGTACCACTGCCACTAAATTCCTTACCCCCCTTGGTGGGGGGGGGGCAGGAGAGGGGGCAAGGAGAATCCCATTCACAGACAGAACTGAAGGTTTCTGAAGCAACACAGACTGCTGACTTGGGGTCATCATACCTGGTTAATGTGTCTCATCTCTACCATTTACTTGAGATGACTTTGGGCAAGTTACATAACCTCTCTAACCACCCCCCACCCCCCCTCACCAGGGCCTCAAATGTAAAATAGGATTCATAGAATAGAAAAATTTTTAGAGGATGATATGTCTGCTGTGCCAGCCATAAATTCTCCAGCCCCCTGATTTTATAGATGGGAAAACAGGTTTTAAAAAAAGGGCCTGGCATACATACAACCCACTAGACCAACCCAGCCATGCACCTCCCTGTTTTTCCAAACCTCAGGCTCTGAGCCCTACTCTGAGATCTAGGCTTCCCATCTCCAAGCATTTGTCCAACTCTTCCCCTCTCCACGTCATTGGTGCCAGTGGAATGCTATGGATGGGGGATTTGGGGGGGTGGGGGTGGGCAGCTCATGGGCTGCCAATGCCCGACCTGATTTGGACTCACAGGATGCTCTCCCCCACCCCCAGTGCAAGAATGCCGCAGCTGGCTGCTTGGTGACATGCCCCCTGGCACATCGCAAGGGGCACCAGAACTCATGCCCTTTCGAGCTAATGGCTTGCCCTAACGAGGGCTGCATGGCACGGATGCCACATGAGGCCTTGGCCGAGCACCGGCAGCACTGCCAGCATGGTATCCAACAGCGTTGCCCCCTAGACTGCAGGGCCACCCTGGACCCAGCAGAGCGTGTAAGCCACAACTGCCACCTCGAGCTGCGTGAGACCTGGGGCCAGCACCAGGAGCGCAGCCGGAATCTGGTGCTGTGCCTGTTACGGCGCGTGCGCAAGGTGCACCACACCACCAACCTCCTGCGCCGTGGGTTAGCCCAGCTAGGAGACTTCCTGGAAGACAACGCGCTGCTTGTCGGCGCCCAGCAGGAGGATGCGGAGGCAACCCCAGAAGGCAGCATTGGGGCTGAGGTGTGGGAAGTCCGGGGCCAAAGTACCTTGTAAATTGAGAGGTGAATAAATGCAGGCCCTGATCTGACACTCGCCCCGCTCCTCTCCAGTCACTACTCCCATCTCCCCGCAGGGACACTTTGGCTTCTCTCCCTCGACCTCTCTCAAGTTCGACACTGGCTATTCTCCCTGCTCCAAAGCTCCTTCCCTCACTCTCATTGGTCAGGCTTCCTTCCACTCAAATGAATGTCTCCTTGCAAAGGTTCCCCGCCCCAGGCTGCTTCTTAGTTACTTTCTACCAATCTGTTTACCAGCTTCATAGCCAGGAGCACAAATGACTCAAAATCCAGAACTCAGAGTAAAAGCAACTCACAAAGAACTCCATTACCTCTGACCTCCTCCCCTTAGTCTCCTCCTTACTCCCTCCCTGCACCTATAGGAGCTTTTGTTGCTCCTCCAGACCTATGCACTGGCTGTTCTCATCGTGAAGCACTGTTCCCCTAGATAACCACAGGGCTCCCTGCATCACCTACTTTAGGTTTTTGCTCGTGTCCCCTTCTCCAAAAAGAGTTCTCCACCACCCCATTCATAATCGCAGCCCCTAAGCTCCACTCCAACCCTGGCCAATCCTTTCCCCAGCACTAATCATTTAAAATGTCACTATTAGGGCTATCTAACAGGAAAAGCAAAGGGGAAGAGAGGGGGGAAAAGTACAGAGAATAAGTAGGGTAGGTGGTAGGTAGAAAATAGACAGGGGGAGGGCAAGAATAGAATGGGAAATGTAGAAGCCAAAGAACTTATATGTATGACCCATGGACATGAACTGAAGGGGGGAAATGTGCAGGTGGGAGGGAGTGAAGGGGGGAAATGGGACAGCTATAATAACATATCAATAAAATATATTTAAAAATAAATAAAATGACACTATTATTCCTTGCCCTGCCACTCAGTCCCCACCCCACTAGCACATGAACTACCTGAAACCAGGGTTTTTGGTTTTCTTGTCTGTTGAGATCTGGGAAATTGAGAACACAGCCTGACCACAGCAAAACAGGCTGATTGTAATGTGTTTAGTTTTGAATTTTGAAACCCCACCCTGTTCCCACACTCGGTCTCTGTCAGCAAACAGCTAACTGCCACGTCTGCTTCTGTTCAACACTTGCTTGCTCATCCCTATATAAGAACTTAGCTGTAAGCGCTCGGCGCATTTCTCATCTGCAGCCCTTCTGGGCACCATGTCTCCAGACACCCCGAGAGTATGCCCCTGCACAGGTTAAGCTTGGCCAATAAAATAAGATCAAAACCCTGAAAGGTCTTCTAAAATTATTCTCGCGTCCGGTGGATATAACATTCTCTAGCGTTTCTTACGTGCCAAGAACAGTACTTTGCTCACACAATATGCTCAAATACTTAAACGACTCTGAAATTACCTGATTTATTCATTTACCTGTGTTCTCATACCAGGCCATGAGCCCCCAAGGCAGGGCTGCTTTTTTTTTTTAAGCCTTTATTTATTTATCTTTAGAGGGGAAGAGAAGGAGAGAAGGAGAGAAATATCAATACATGGTTGCCTCTTGTGTGTCCCCCTGCTGGGAACTGGCCTGTAACCCAGGCATGTGCCCGGACTGGGAATCGAACTGCGATCCTTTGGTTCGAAGGCCCACACACAATCCACTGAGGGCCACAGCCAGGGCCAGGGCTTTTTTTCAAGTCTCTATATACTCTCGGAAGCGCTCACCCCGAATCCCAAAATGCCAAGGGGACAGGATCCTTGGGATTACTTTAGTAAACATTTCCTAAGAATGCCTTTCTAGATTTCCATTAAAAAGCCAGATACACAAATGATGCATTCTAAAATGGTACTCCTGAAAGCTACATAATTTTGTTAACCAATGTCACTCCAATAAGTTCAATAAAAATGTAAAAAATTAAAAGGCCAAGTCCTGGCTGGTACAGCTCAGTGGATTGAGAGCGGGCCTGGGAAGCAAAGGGTCGCAGGTTTGATTCTCAGTCAGGGTACATGCCTGGGTGGCAGCCCAGGTCCCCAGTAGGGGGTGTGCAAGAGGCAACCACACACTTATGATTCTCGCCCTCTCTTTCTCCTTCCCTTCCCCTCTCTCTAAAAATAAAATAAATAAAAAGGCCAGGCCAGATACCTGCGAACCCAGTCCCCCGCAAGTCTAAAGCATCGGCCCAAGCAATGGTATACCCTAAAAACTTCAGGTCGCAAATGCCTCCGCAAATTCCTCTTCCTGACGCAGCTCCCACTGCCCACAGCAACGATGGCGCCGCTGGCACGGCGTTAATGACGTCACAGCAGAAACGCCATCAAAGGGCGCCGGCAGCGCCGAGTGGCGCACAGGTCTCATGCGGCTGAGGCGACAGCAGCGGCAGCAACATGGAGGAGGCAGTGGCCGGAGTAAGCCGCTTCAAGGCCAAGTGAGTCAGGGCACTGGGGCTGTGAGCGGGAACCGGGTTCGCAGCCGGAGTAGCTGAGGCGCCCGCCGTGGACCGGTGTCCTCTCGGGTTTGGGGAGGCGGTAGGGACTGTACGGACTGGTCTGCGGGGTCGTGGTGGCTAAGGTGGGAGAGGCGGCAATGACTGCTCTCGAGGAGGGGTTCACTGGAGCCCGGCTGGGCGTAGCCAGCGTAAGTTACTTAAACTAGGACCCGGTTTGGGAGTGGGGACGAGAAATCCCAGAGAAGGAAGTAGGGACGGATTGAGTACAAGTGGAGGCTGGCCCTGGGTGGAGCGGAAGGCGGCGAAGAATTGATCTGGGGCAGGCGACGGGGAGTTTTCACTTGCTGTCCCTCTTCTCCAGGGAGAGGGAAGAGGTTAGGAGAGGGGCCCTGAAGCCCTGAATTCTGTGCTCAGTCCCCAAGCCTCTGCTGAACGTCTAAGTGCTTAGTGTTCCGAGAGGAACAGACTCAGCACAGCTGTGTGAAGTGCAGTCTGATGGGATAATTGTATTAAGCAAATCTTTTCCATCAGTGCTGTGACAAGCACTAGCAAAAGAAGCCCCGGTGGGTAGTCAACTGGGTTCGGGGATTGGAGGCTTTGTTTCATCTTGGCAGTAACCTCCGGTGGGATTAGTCGGGCGCTGTTGAAAACTGGAAAGAGAGATCTAGGCTACTTATAGGGAACAGCCTGTTTGAAACAGGAGAGGTCAGCAGTGGCCCCTTATGCCGGTGTCTTGGAAACGTGAAGAGAGGAGAGGGTTTTAAGGCAAGGTGATGACATAAAAAACAGAGTTATGTTCTAACAGGCCTTTTTGCATTAGGGTTGAAAAGAGTGGGTAGGGGCCTGGTGAAGAGGCTGGAGCAGCTCTCCAGCAGGGACAGTGCAATAAAACCTGGACCAGCGTGAGAGCAGCGGAGAAGAGAATAGGGTTGGTTGGGGATTGAGATGCAGGCCAGGCTGGGGATAGAAGAAGGATTAAGTGTTGGCAAAGGGTTCAGGCGGGACCTCAGGAATGAAGATGCTGAGCATGTTTCTGTGGTCTGGTACCCAGACCTGGCATCCTGTGGCCAGCAGGGGGCCCCCAAGGCCTGACCTGATCTGCACTGGGGAGTCTCTGGAAAGACTGGGCTGCTGGACTGTTTGTGCTGTTGTTCTCTCTGTGGGATCACCAACCGACCCAGGGTCTCAAGTATTCTGTAACAAGGGGACACCAACACCCACTCACAACGGTGAAAAGAACTCATAACCAGCACCATCCCATCCCTACTACTGTCCAGGGACTCAAAAGCACCTGGCACAGGGCTTGGCACTAGGGTCCAAGGGGGTGGTGATTCATTCTCTCCCTCTGTCCTACCTCTAGCTATGCTGTGGAGCGCAAGATCGAGCCCTTCTACAAGGGCGGGAAAGTGCAGGTACCAGCCCAGGGATGGGCAGAGTGGTGGGGCAGGCAGGGACTACAGAGTGTTACCTTGGCTGAGACCCCCCTGTCACCAGCTGGACCAGACTGGGCAGCACCTCTTCTGTGTCTGTGGTACCAAAGTCAACATCCTGGATGTGGCCTCAGGGGCCATTCTGCAGAGCCTGGAGCAGGTGAGGGCAGGGAGAGGCAGGGTTAGGGACTAGTGTGGAAAGGCAGCCTATTCTCATGGTATTCTGTGTGCCCACTCTCACCCCTAGGAAGACCACGAGGACATTACTGCCTTTGATCTCAGCCCTGATGATGAGGTATGTGGGGCTGGGACAGGAGGTGAGCTCCAGTACCTCCCAGCAAAACTTTGAGTCTGTGAAGATGGGTGGCCATGTCTCTACACCCCCCCAGCCCCGACCAGAGCTGAACTGCATTCTCTGCCAGGTGCTAGTAACAGCCAGCCGGGCGCTGCTGCTGGCTCACTGGGCCTGGAGAGAAGGCAGTGTCATCCGACTGTGGAAAGCGATACACACAGCCCCTGTGGCCACCATGGCCTTTGACCCCACCTCCACACTACTAGCCACAGGTAGGGCCCCAGCTGGGTGGGTGGGCCAGATGGTGGGCACATGAGCAGGGAGCTTTGGGCACACCAGCCCCTCACCCTCCAACACATTTCCACAGGGGGCTGTGACGGGGCTGTGCGTATTTGGGACATCGTGCGGCACTACGGGACGCACCACTTTCGGGGTTCACCAGGTGTCGTGCAGTAAGTAGGGGCAGCAGAGACCACATGAATGGGGCATCACACTGAGGTCGCACAGCTCACTTGCCCCACCCACTCGCTTGCAGCTTGGTGGCCTTCCACCCGGACCCGGCACGCCTGCTGCTCTTCTCCTCAGCCACCGATGCCGCCATCCGAATATGGTCGCTGCAGGGTCAGTCGTGTCTGGCTGTACTGACTTCCCACTACAGTGCTGTCACCTCACTGACCTTTAGTACTGATGGACACACCATGCTCAGGTCAGTGGCCAGCTACCCAGGCCTCAGCAGGCAGGCGGGGGACATGGCTAAGACGTGGGAACTGAGGTGGCTCTTTCCCCCAGCTCGGGCCGGGACAAGATCTGCATTGTCTGGGACCTGCAGAGCCACCAGGCCCTGAGGACTGTCCCGGTGTTTGAGGTAGGGGCACCAGGGGGATCAGGGCCAGTGAGTGGGGCAGGGTTGGGGGCGGGGCTGCCACCTCTGCCCTCTTGCTCCTCAGAGTGTGGAGGCTGCAGTGCTGTTGCCAGAGGAGCTGGCACCCAAGCTGGGTGTGAAGTCCACAGGCTTGTACTTCCTGACAGCTGGCAACCAAGGTGCGTGAGGCTGGAGCAGGCAGCAGGGGCTGGGGGCCCACGGACCTATGAGTCCCAGCAACTTCTGCCCCTGCACAGGTGTCCTGCGTGTGTGGGAGGCAGCCTCCGGGCAGTGTGTACACGCGCAGCAGCAGCTGCCAGGCCCTGGGCGGGAGCTGACCTTCTGCACATTGGTACGATCTGCTGGTCTGCTCCTCAGTGTCACTGCTGACCACAACCTTCTGCTCTACGAAGCACACTCCCTGCAACTGAAGAAACAGGTGAGCACTGTCCCTGGTCAACCCACCGCCTGGGAACATTGGCCTTCTTTTCACACAGGCCCTGGCTTGTGTCTCTCTACCCTGCAGTTTGCCGGCTACAGTGAGGAGGTATTGGATGTCCGGTTCCTGGGGCCCAAGGACTCCCACATCGTTGTGGCCTCCAACAGCCCCTGCCTAAAAGTGTTTGAGCTGCAGACATCAGCGTGCCAGATCCTCCACGGCCACACAGGTGAGGTACCCAGCTGATGCCCCCGGGACCCCTTCTCTTAATTGATCTCTGACTGTGTTCCCTTCCCTTTCTCCCAGACATTGTCCTGGCCTTGGATGTGTTTCGGAAAGGGTGGCTCTTTGCCAGCTGTGCCAAGGTGAGGTACCCCAAGAAGCCTGGAGATATGGATACCTGGTGGGAAAGTTGGGCCCAGCCTCTATCTTCACACCTCTTGTCCCCAGGACCAGAGCATTCGTGTGTGGAGGATGAACAAGGCTGGCAAGGTGACCTGTGTGGCTCAGGGCTCTGGGCACACACACAGCGTGGGCACCATTTGCTGCTCTAGGTAACGGGCCAGGGTGTCACAGACATGGAGGAGTTCCAGCTTAGGAAGACAGAGAGGAGAAGGTGGTGGCTTTGACCTTGCTCTTTGAAGCTTCAGCGTAGGGATCTGGAATAAGGAATGGGCCAGGGGCATCCAGGTACCAGTGTGGAGGAGGGTTCCTCAGTCGTGGCCTTGGGATAGGGTAGATGAAAAAAGCAGGGTGTCAAGGCAGAGAGAATGACACAGAACAAGATCCAGGTGGAGAAGCTGCTCGCTGTACTTAGGGCTAGGAGTTCCATTATTGGGACAGAGTCACCTGTTGTGGTACTAAGGGTGAGCAGTGTGGGCTTAAGTACAGGCATGTGATCCCAGAGGTGTGTTTGGGAGACTCGAGGCCATTTCCCTTCTGGAACAGCCCCTCTGGTCTAGACCGTGGTCCTGCAGGCCTGAGCTGTGGTGCATTGGCAGACTGGGCTGGTCAGGGCTCAACAGGTGTCTCCCCCTCCCCGCCCAATCGGGCCTCAGGCTGAAGGAGACCTTCCTGGTGACGGGTAGTCAGGACTGCACTGTGAAGCTGTGGCCCCTCCCCAAAGCTCTGCTGTCCAAGAGCACTGCTCCAGACAGTGGCCCCGTCCTCCTACAGGCCCAGACCACACAGCGATGCCACGACAAGGTGACCACACACACAGTACACTGGGGGGTTAGTGCTGCAGGGCCCCTACTGGGGTAGGGGTTGCTGAGCCGCCTCCTGTTTCATCACCAGGACATTAATAGTGTAGCTGTTGCCCCCAATGACAAGCTGCTGGCCACTGGCTCCCAGGACCGCACAGCCAAGCTCTGGGCTCTGCCGCAGTGCCAACTGCTGGGGATCTTCTCAGGCCACCGGCGTGGCCTCTGGTGTGTCCAGTTCTCACCCATGGACCAGGTGCTGGCTACTGCCTCAGCCGATGGCACCATCAAGCTCTGGGCACTGCAGGACTTCAGCTGCCTTAAGGTAAGCTGCCCCCACCCCAGGCGTGGCCCACACCTGACCCCTTCTGACACCTTCCCTGTCCCAATCCTGTAGACATTTGAGGGGCACGACGCTTCTGTGTTGAAGGTGGCCTTTGTGAGCCGTGGTACACAGCTGCTGTCCAGGTGAGTGGGCTGGGGACAGGACAGTGGTTGGGGTGAGTTGGGGACAGGGGTGAGTTGGGGAGGACAGGCCCCAGTGCTGAGCCCCCTCCCAATTCCAACCCCAGTGGCTCTGATGGGCTCATGAAGCTCTGGACCATCAAGAACAATGAGTGTGTGAGGACTCTGGACGCCCACCAGGATAAGATCTGGGGGCTGCACTGCAGCCAACTAGATGACCGTGCTCTTACTGGTGCCAGTGACTCCTGTGTTATCCTCTGGAAGGTGTGTGGGTTTGGGTGGGGTGGGCATGGAGCGGAGTGGGCAGGGCAGCACAGGGTTTCTGTTCTGACCCTAGTCTGACCCTAGGATGTTACCGAGGAGGAGCAGGCAGAGGAGCAGGCCAAGCAGGAGGAGCAGATGATTAAGTAAGTCTGGAGGGTCCCTGCCACCAGTGTGTCTGGCGCTTCCCATGTATCAGCATCCCCTCCCACCGGGGCAGGGTGTGGTAGCATCACCCCTGCTGTACGGAGCACGGCCTTCACCATCAGTGGGTGTTTATGTCCGGTTTGCTGACTCCTGAACCAGCCCCCTGACGGCTCTGCCTTCAGACCCAGCCCCGTGGCCCTGTCCTCCTCCCTTTTTCCCCTGCCAGGCAGCAAGAACTGGACAACTTGCTCCAGGAGAAGCGGTACCTTCGGGCGCTAGGCCTGGCCATCTCCCTAGACCGGCCCCACACCGTGCTGAATGTTATCCAGGGTCAGTGCCTCGGACCTGACAGGTGGCAGTGGCAGGTGGGTTGGGGGTCCTCTTGTGTCTGACCTGACCCTTTCCTGGGTCTTTTCTTCCCTCCTCCTGCAGCCATTCGGAGGGACCCCGAGGCCAGTGAAAAGCTGGAAGCCACAGTTCTCCGACTGCGGCGAGACCAGAAAGGTTTGGGGCGGGTGGGTGGAGGCTGACAGGGGTGGTGTAGCCAGCAGGCAGATCTGACCATCCGCGTCACTTGCAGAGGCCTTGCTGCGCTTCTGTGTCACATGGAACACCAACTCACGGCATTGCCACGAAGCCCAGGCTGTGCTGGGTGTGCTCCTAAAACATGAAGCCCCAGAAGAGCTGCTGGCCTACGAGGGTGTGCGAGCCTCACTTGAGGCGCTGCTGCCCTACACTGGTACAGGGACATGGGCCTGGGTGGGGGAGGGAGGGAGTAGCCCAGCCAGACTTAACGGACCCCCTGACAACCTCTGTCCTCCATCCCCAGAGCGGCACTTTCAGCGGCTCAGCCGGACCCTGCAGGCAGCCACCTTTCTGGACTTCCTGTGGCACAACATGAAGCTGCCCACCCTCCCTGCAGCCTCCTCTGCCCTCTGAAACATACTTTTCTATCCCAACTTCCCGTGTCTGGGCTTTTTCTCATCCCAAGTCCCAGGCCACAGCGTCAGCTAAGCACCATCTCTGTGCCTTGGCCTGGCCGCAGTCCAGCAGGCCCTGCCCCTCCACATGCATGCTGGGTGTGGGTTCATCAGAACTTTACTCAAAGGAAATGGGGAAGTATAGCCTCCTGGCCCTGCCAGCCAGGGATTCCCAACCTCAAATGCACCTCCCCTGCCCTGAGGGCGGTATGGCTGCCATCAGTTTCGCTGGGGTCTGGAACCTCCATGTAGTTCCACATGCCCTCAAGGAGGTCCCTGACCCCGTGGGCCCCACCCCAGTGCCCTACAAGTAATGGTACAGCAGCACCTCTGAATGGCACTCGGCAGGGGGCGGGTGGGCACAGTAGGGGGAAGGGTCACGGCCTGGGGGGACTGAGAGGAGCTTTGGGCCTCGCCTACCCCATCTTCACTACCCTCTGCCCCAGAGTAGAGTCCCGGTCTGCTCAGGAGCACACCTAGCCCATCTGGCTGCAGTAGCACAGAGGGCAGAAGACCCACGCGTCCACTGAACCTGCAAGGAGAGCAGCATTTGGTCAGCACTTGGCCCTGCCCATCCTCTGAGATTTCCCCCTTCCCCCAGCAAAGCCCCACACCTGCACAGCCACCAGCCTCGGTCTGACATTTCCAGCACTTGCACTCTTGCCCCCGCAGGCACTGACAGCTCGTCGACTCGGCTGCCCTCATAGGCTTGGGAAACATAAAACTGGGAGCCTGGGAGTGGGCACTTGGGTTAACCACAGGGGTTCCCATCTCAGTCCCTTCATCGCGCTCACTGAATCCCCACCCCTGGGCTCGCTCTCTCGATCTCTGCTGATACCAGGGACCACTAAAACCTGCCAGGGCTCCCACCTGCTACGGGCACCAAGCACGCTTGGGGACTGCCCCACCTAGTACTTCCACAGCATCCCTCCCCTGGGTCAGGTTCTTCGGTACCCCAGCCACACACTGCTCGGTGGTGGTGGGTGTAGGGAGGAGGTTATTCTCATACCGCTGCTCTCTAGGGGCTCTCCCCCATCTTGTCCCTGGCCCAGGGCCACCTCCTCCAAGTAGGGAGCAGGAAACCATGCCATCTGCTGGTCCTCGTTAGCTACCAGCCACCAGCCTGTATACAAGAGGAATGTGGCGGTTCAGGTCCCCAGGCATGCTGGGGTCCTGGGGACAGCAGGTTAAAATTAGTCCCCAGACACCTGCCCGGCCCCACCTGAGGGGTGTCGAAGCAGCACTTCTAGTGCCTCCTGGGCTTGCACAAGAAAGGGTTGGCCCCTTGTGTCCTGGGTGCTGAAGGGCTGCAGGGAGTGCAGTCTCAGAGCCACCGTGCTGCCAGTGGCAAGGCTTCCTGCAGGGCAGGGCAGGGGTTCTTCCCAGACAGTCAAGATCACCAGGCTGGAAGGGCGGTGGTAGCAGAAGAGATGTGTGAGGATGGGCTGCCACCCCTCACAAGTCCACCCAGCCCTGTACCTCCTAGTCCTTTTCACCACCATGCTACCCCATCCTCCAAATGCTTCCCACAGGGAGTTAGGAATTGGGCAGGCACCTGCCAGGTGGCAGTGAAGGTTCCAGGTCCTGAGGCTGTGGCTCAAAAAAGCCGGTGAGCACTGGCCCCCTGGACACGCACTCTACCACCAGCAGCATCTGCAAATAGGTCTCCAGCAACCTCAGGTGTGCCAGGCTGCGGCCTGTGCGACCCCCACGTGCCAGCAGCAATGCAGATATGTCTGTGGGCACCACATGGGCAGACTGTGGGGTCCCACCCCAAGGCTCCCACCACTAGGCTACTGCTGCCACCCCCGCCCCTCCCAGGATCCCTGTGGCCTGACCAGGAAGCTTGGGGAGAACTCGGTCAGATCTCCGCAGTAGGCCTGCCTCCACCGGGAAGGTCTCCTTGAGGGTCTTCTACGGGCAAGAACCAGTATATGGGTCTTTGAGAGCCCACTGAGTTAACTTGGGAGGGCAGGAATCTTAGGGGATCTTAGGGGCTAGAAGCCAGCACAGGCATTGGGGCAGGCACTGTGGGGTGGGGAGGGGGGGGAGTCATTCAGTTGTAGGACGTCAGGGTCACCCCAGAGTCACTCACGTGGAGCCTCCTGAACTCGTCACAGCTCCTTCGCACGAAGGTGTTGCTGTTGTCTGACCAGCGCACAGAGAAGGCGAATGTCTGCCAGAGGAAAGGGTGCGGGCACCTGGGAAGGACTGGCCCGTGAATTCCCTCCCTCCCTCCCTCTTTCCTTCTGAGGTTGGCGGTGACTAGATCATACCTGGAGCCTCTCTGTCTGCACCAGTGCCACTGCGTGTACTGACACTGGGTGCCGCGGGCCCGCCATAGCTGTAGCCTGATGATGGGTCAAGCTCCCTCCCAGAAGACTGGAGTTCCCCTGTCTGCCTTAGACAGGCCAGGTCCTGGCAGCACTCACTGCCTTACCCGTGTCCTCAGTTTCCTCGCCAGGCCCCAACCTGAAGATCTAGGTGGAGAAACAGGTTTGCGGTGGAGGGAGAACGCACAGGCAGTGGTGGGGGGCGGGGCGGGGCTGGGACTGCTGCCGGAGGCCCTCCTGCCTCTCAATCCGGTGTGGTGGGAGGAGAAGGAAGAGCCATCAAAGTGCCCCGCTGGGCCTGGCCCACCCTCCAGGCTGTCCCATAGTGCTGTGTAATGCTGGGATTGCTGAGCGCCTCAGGAATTTGCCTGGAGCGCTGACACCAGTTGTCTCCGATTGGCTTCATCCTTACAGTGAAGGAAAGATCTCTCAATGTCCCAAGGAAGAAATTTGTGTTAAGTGGATAATGTCAGTTTTTCTCTGTTTGGGAGAGCTGGACCTCAGGTTCACCCGGAGGTCCCCCTGTCTCTGGTGATCCAACTCTACAGTCGCCAGCACTTGGTGGTGGGGGTGACTACGACTGTTTTGAGAGCTGCCTCTGAATTTACAATTTATTAAAAGTTACTGCAAACACAGCCTCTGAGATCAGGAATGACCATTCCCCTATTGAGGTGGTGAGAAGACCCTGGAATCCCCAGAGAGTGTGCCTTGGTGCCCCACAATTCTGGGCTGCTTCCTTACAGGGGAGATTTCTGGGGCCCCATCTAACCTTGGCCCAAAGTAGTTCTACCTGCTGATAGGGCTGCCAGCTCTGTGTTGGGACCCCCACCCCCACCCCAAGCCTTCAGGGAGGGGTCAGCCTCCAGAGCATTCCTCCAGGGAACCACCCTGGTGGCCTGGACAAAGGGCTTTTGTGTGTCCCTCCAGCAGCTCTCTCTGAAGCTTTCAAGCCTTTCCTAGTCTTGGTCTAGACAGTGAATACCTGCTGGCATAGGCCTGACATGCAGAATGCCTTTAAGTCCTCGACCTCGGTGGGGGCCATGCTGAGGGTGCTCGGCCTGGCAGGGTCCAGGTTGGAACAGGAAGACAAAAGGATAGAAGCTAGGGAGGGGCCAATTTACAAACAGCTGCTGAGGCCCCCTCAACTTCCCCAATTGACCACCTCATTCCACATTCCCTGCAATTTGGATCCTTTCCCCTCTCTCCCTCTCTATAGCCCCTACTCTTATTTGGACAACAACCCAGTGCCCATGCTCTTCACTTGCTCCCATGAAGTTGGCCCTTTTTTTTTTTAGATTTTATTTTTAGAGAGGGGAAAAGGAAGGAGAGGGAGAGAAACATGAATGTGTGCTTGTCTCTCGAACACGCCCCCTACTGGGCACCCAGCCTGCAAACCGAGGCATATGCCCTGACTGGGAATTAAACCAATGACTTTCTGGTTTGCAGGCCCATACTCAATCCACTGAGTCACACCAGCTAGGACCTTGAAGTTCACTTTCTAGAGGAATCTTTGCAAAACAGAAATGGGACCAGAGAGAAGTAGCCCTGCCCCAAACTGTCTAGCAACTTCTAAAGGCTCTTGGAATAAATTCCCAGTTCCCATGGCAGCTGATAAGGTCCTTGATGGGCCCTTGCCCACCCCAGGTCCTGTCTCACTGTCCTTTCTGCCCATGCAAGAGACCAAGACCCTCCCACCTCCAGCCTTATCCTTCACTGTCCTCAGCTGATGCCTCATCCTTCGGGTCTCTGCCTAAGGCTCACTGTCTCAGAGAGGCCACCTGAATTCTGAATTTACCACATCGTTATGGTTATGACCCCCGCCATAGTTTGAAAGTGAACATTTATTAGTGTAACTCCTTTTTTTGTTCAAGACCACTGGATTATGAGCTGAGGAAGTCCAGTTGTATCTTGTTCCCCACCTCTCCCAACGCCTGCAATACTGCTTGGATCAAACTAGGCACTACACATATATCTGTGGATTGAATGAATATACTCATAGAAACAGAAGTATCCCTGAGGCCACTCCTGACGTGAGTTTAACTCCTTCATGCAAGCTAGAGGATCCGGGCTGTTCGGTTCACGCAGAAGCCCAGGGACACACACTGCCTCCTTTGTCCCACCCCACTTTCCCTTGTGCTCACTGCCATGGTGCCGGCGGCGGCGGCGGTGGGGGGGGTCCCCCCAGACCGCGGCCCTAGAGCTCACCGCGGGTCTGTGCGCTCAGTGCCCTGCCCTACGTTGCCATAGCACCGCTCAGCCGACGGGGGGCGTGCCCCCAGCTGAAGCCACAGTGTCGGGCCTCTGGCACACAGAACTGAGCGGAGGGATGGGGGCATCGAGGACCGCAACACGGAGTTCTCCTCGGCCGCAGCCCGAGTCCACGGCGCGGCTGCGGCGCACCTTCCACAACACTCTGCTCTTCTACTGGAGGAAGCGGGAACCTCGCCATGAAGGACAAAAGCCAGGCTCCGGCAGCAGAAGTAGGCCCAGGGGCGTGGCCAGGACCCGAGCTCCCCGCGCATCCTTGGCTAGAACCCATACTTCGGGCTCTGCCTCCTCCCGAGTGAGGGCCCCAGCTCCCAACTCCATCTCTACGCCGGACCCAGCCTCCCCGCGGGACTCTGACCCCAGTCCTAACCCCAGCCCGGCCCCCGCCCCCGAGTCCGCGGCGTGCGCGCCGGGCTCCTGTGGCCGCATCCTAGCGGCTGCGCGCGCGCTGGCCTGGAGGTCGACTTGGAGGCCCTTCTGGAGGCCGAGCTGGCCCGTCAGGCACTGCGCGGGCAACATGGCGGCACCCAGCGAACGGTGGCGCTTCGGCGGCGGGAGCCTTTTCTCCTTTCTGCCCGGCGGCGCGCGCTCCGAAGCAATGGAGGACCTGGTAACTGACGCGCGTGGCCGTGGCGCGGGACGGAAAGATGCCTCCGCCGCCGCCTCGGCCCCGACTCCAACCCTGGCGCCGACCCCCGACTCTCAGGTCCCCGAGGACACCACCCGGAGACGGCCCTGCCGTGCCTGCGTGGACTTCAAGTCATGGATGCGGACGCAGCAGAAGGTGCAAATGCCCAGGGGCACCACCTCTTCGCAGAAGCTCGCGAGCCCTGCCCACCTCTAGCCCCGGCCCGCACACGACTTCCCTGCCCGCCCCTGGCCCCCACATTTTTTTCTCAGGCGTCCCAAGGCAATCCTCCCAATGCAATCCCAGGGATTCGCCCTGGCCCTAGCGGAGGGGTCTCATAGGTCCTGTGCCTTAGAGACTTATGACCCGCAGAGTTAGCTGTTCCTGAACCTTGTTCCCAAGGCAGCCCCGCCCTTTTGGTTTTCACACTTACGTGGACCGAATCTGCAGGACTAATGTCGAGTTAGTGGGCCTCCAGCTGGGGAGGGACAAAGGGGAGCTTTGTAGGCTTCTGGTCAGGGGAGACTGAACTCACCCTTGGTCGGCCTCCTTCCGCAGCGGGACAGCAAGTTTAGGGAAGATTGTCCTCAGGATCGCGAGGAACTGGGCCGACAGAGCTGGTCTGTCCTCCACACCCTGGCTGCCTACTACCCCGACCTGCCCACCCCAGAACAGCAGCAAGACATGGCCCAGTTCATACATTTATTTTCCAAGTTTTACCCCTGTGAGGAGTGTGCAGAAGACATAAGGAAGAGGTAAGTTATTCTGTACTGTCTGCAGGCAACAGAGCATCCTACCTGGAGCCTGAACCTGGGGCCCCTGACTGATACCATAAAGGAGATCCTAGAGAAATAGGTGCAGAAATGGCAGAGACTGGCAGAGGGTTGCCAAGAGCAGGGATCATCTGAGCCATCAAAGGCCAAGCAGCCTGGGCCTGCTCTTGGGCACCACTGCTTTCTGCAGCCGGGGGCCCAGTGAGAGGGCTTTCCTCAAGAGGTCTCTTGCTTAGTACTAATGGAGGATCCAGCAGTTTAAGGAGGACTCCACTTTGACTTCTGGAGCAGAACTGCTGGTTTCAAGACCTTGAAAAAGCATTGCTTTTGTTTACAAGAGTCCATGACTCATTAGATTACCCAAGAGCCATTGTTTGGTACCCATAGGTGTTTCTGGGCTAGATGTGGGGAGGGGGCAGAGCAGCCCTTGCTGTTTGAACCAGCCCTGGGCAGTTAGAACCACAGCTCTTGCTGAGCTGAGTCTCCAGGGCCCCACATGCTAAGAAACCAATTTGGTTTTTAGTTATGCTTTTGTGCAGGCTCCACCCTTTCCACACACTGCCTGGGGCCAGGCAAGCTGAGGTGAAGCTTCCTGATTGTTATGAGGTTGTAAAGCTACGTGGTTTATGTTAATGTCTTACCCTGGGCTCTTGTCAGTGTTTACCAAGCTCCCCAAGTGGGAAATAGGTGCATTGGTGCCCAGGAGGGGGCCCACTCCTGCACACTGCAGGGCCAGCCTCTTTGGGGAATTACTGTCTCTCAGAACATGAGGGTACACCTGGAGTAGCTCACAGCCACATCCCATCTCTTCCCTGGATTTAGCAGGCAAAGGCCTACCTGACGGGGCAGGGGCAGTGGGATCACTGCCTGCCCTCATTCCACATGTGCTTCTGACCCTGCAGGATACATAGGAACCAGCCAGACACGCGCACACGGGCGTGTTTAACCCAGTGGCTGTGCCGCCTGCACAACGAAGTGAACCACAAGCTAGGCAAGCCAGACTTCGACTGCTCTAAAGTGGATGAGCGCTGGCGTGATGGCTGGAAGGACGGCTCCTGCGACTAGAGGGTGGCCAGCCGGAGCCCATGGGGCTACCTGGCTAGAGAGGGGCAGGGCACTTATTAAAGTGCAGCAGAGCCAGAAGCTGTTGTGTTTTTGTTGGGTGGTCCCCAGATACTGCCCATGGGGGCACTTTCCTTCTTAGGTTTCAAAGGTGCCTGCTGTAGGCACCCTATAGCCTCCTCAACCGAGGCCCTGTGGGGCTGCAGGTCAAGGAGTAGGAACAGCCTAGGCTGTCCCTTTTGTCCTGGATGCAGCCTCCTGCCCACCTCACACCCTGGTGCCCACTCTCCCACACAGGAAGGAGATAGATTTTGCTGGGCTCCCCTGTCCACAAAACACTCAAGACCAGGTCACTGTCTCCCCAGTGTGTAGCTAGGGACAACTGCAGTTGGGGACTGTAGCCCCAAAGGCTGTATGCTGTGTGCACTTCAGGAAAGAGGCCTGGGGACTAAGTTTTCCACCTTGCTTAGTCTTTACAGACAGGGAAAGTCCAGGCAGGGTTCTTTTCTGAGGGTCCACTGACCCTGCAAGCTCATTTTCTATCCAGTACATGGCCTTCCAATCTTGTCAGAGGTATCCTGGGGTCAGCTTTCTTGGAGCATGAGACCAAAATAAAATGCTGAAGAAGTGACTGAGAAGTTGGCTTCAATGTGTTTTGTGCTGGGACTTGTGCTGATGGACAGGGCCTGCCCTCACCCCGCTGTGGTCAGCTCCTCCTTCCTGTCCAGGTTCTGGCTCCTAAGGAGGAAGAAGACATTTCAAGGCAAGAGTGGGCCAAGATATTCCAGGAGCAGCAAGAAGGCTGAGTTCCTGGAGCTGAGAGAGAGGGTCGTCAGAGAGATGAGGGGGAGTCAGGTAGCATAGAGTTTTCAAGGCCTCAGCATGGATGTGGGAGTTTTTTTTTTTACCTTTTTTTTTTTAATAGAAAAGAAGGGAGTGGGGGGAAACATCAATATGTTTCACTTATTTACAATATGTGGTTTCACTTATTTACACATTCATTGGTTGATTCTTGTGTATGTCCTGACCAGGGATTAGACCCACCTTGGTGTATCAGGACGACGCTCTAACTGAGCTACCTGCCAGAGCTTTTCTTTTTTAATTTATTTATTTTTAGAGAAAGGGGAAGGGAAGGAGAAAGAGTGGGAGAGAAACATCAATGTGTGGTTGCTTCTCATGTGTCCCCTAGTGGGGACCTGGCCTGCAACCCAGGCATGTGTCCTGACTGGGAATTGAACCAGCAACCCTTTGCCTCACAGGCCCACGCTCAATCCACTGAGCTACACCAGCCAGGGCGGAGCTTTTTTTTAATAACTAGGAACTTCACTGGGTTCTTTTTTCCTTCTTTTTCTTCTTTTTTTTTTTTTTTTTAGAGGAAGAAAGAAACGTTGATTTGTTGTTCCACTTATTTATGAATTCATTGGTTACTTCTTGTGTGTGCCCTGACTGGGAATTGAACCCACAACTTTGGCATATCAGACTTAGTGAGCCGACCCAGCCAGGACTGACCTGTGACTTTTGAGAGGTTTTTCTGATCTAGGATGAGGCAGGCATGGGTGGAAACAAGGAGGGCAGGCACTCATATAGCAGCTGAGGGGGAAGCTAGCCCTAGGGTGGATGGGAGAGGATGCTGATAGACTCTTGAAGGTACAGCCAAGAGAGAGCCAAAGGTGGCTGGGGTTCTGGCCCAAGAAGCTGTAAGGATGAAGTTGCTGTGTGTATCAGTGAATTGGAGATGGCTGTGAGTGGAGCAGGTTGGGAAGTGACCTGGACCCAGCTTTTAAGCCCTTCTGATCTGCTCAGCCACACCTGCTCCAAGGCCTTGGCTTCCAGCTGGAATAGCTCAGCAACAGTGTGCCTCATCTCTGTGGTCAAAGCTCCGTCACCCCATCCCCACAGTGTTTCAGCCTCTCCCTAGGCAAAGGGCAAGCTTTTGCCATGGCATCCTCAGCACCTTCATCTGACTGTTCTCATGGTAGTGCTGGCTTGCACAAGGTGGTACTCTGAGGGGCCAGGTGACACAAAAATAGGCGGGGGACTTCCGGCCAAGGTGGAGGCATAAGTAGACACACTGCCTCCTCACACAACCAAAAGAAGGACAACAACAAATTGAAAAACAAAAACAACCAGAACTGACAAAATTGAACTGTATGGAAGTCGGACAACCAAGGAGTTGAAGAAACATTCATCCAGACAGATAGGAAAGGTAGAGACTGGCAGAATGGGCGGTCCCACATACATGTGCAGATAAACCAGGAGGAACAACTGGGGAGCAAGACAGACTGCATAACCCAGGGTTCCAGCACAGAGAAATAAAGCCTCAAAGCCTCTGACTAAAAACGGGGGGGGGGGGTTGTGGGAGAAACTGCCAGCCTCACAGGAGAGTTCACTAGAGAGACCCACAGGGCCCTAGAATGTACACAAACACACCCACACAGGAATCAGCACCAGAAGGGCCCAATTTGCTTGTGGGTAGTGGGGGGAAGTGACCGAAAACCTGCAGAGAGCAGAGCAAGTGGCGCTGTTCCCTCTCAGACCTCTCCCCCACATACAGCATCACAACCCAGCGATGTGGGTTGCCCCACCCTGGTGAACATCTAAGGCTCTGCCCCTTATATGTAACAGGTATGCAAAGACAAAAAGAAAAAAAGGCCCAAATGAAGGAACAGATCAAAGCTCCAGAAAAAATACAGCTAAGCAATGAAGAGATAGCCAACCTATCAGATGCGGAGTTCAAAACACTGGTGATCAGGAAGCTCACAGAAATGGTTGAGTGTGGTCACAAAATAGAGGAAGATGTGAAGGTTATACAAAGTGAAATGAAAATGTACAGGGAACCAACAGTGAAGGGAAGGAAATCGGGACTCAAATCAATGGTGTGGACCAGAAAGAAGAAACATTCATCCAGAACAGAATGAAGAAACAAAAATTCAAAAAAATGAGAGGGTTAGGAACCTCTAAGACATCTTTAAACATTCCAACATCCAAATCATAGGGGTGCCAGAAGGAGAAGAGGAAGAGCAAGAAATTGAAAACTTAATTGAACAAATAATGAAGGAGAACTTCCTTATTCTGGCAAAGGAAATAGACTTCCAGGGAAGTCCAGGAGGCTCAGAGTCCCAAAGAAGCTGGACCCAAGGAGGAACACACCAAGGCACATCATAATTACTTTACCCAAGATGAAAGAGAAGGAGAGAATCTTAGAAGCAAGCAGTTACCTACGAAAGAGTTCCCATAAGACTGTCAGCTGATTTCTCAAAAGAAACCTTGCAGGCAAGAAGGGGCTGGAAAGAGGTATTCAAAGTCATGAAAGGCAAGGACCTACATCCAAGATTACTCTATCCAGCAAAGCTTTCATTTAGAACGGAAGGGCAGATAAAGTACTTCCCAGACAAGGTCAAGTTACAGAATTTCATCATCACCAAGCCTTTATTATATGAAATGTTAAAGGGACTCATCAAAGAAAAAGATTATAAAAAATATGAACAATAAAATGACAACAACCTGACATTTATTAACAACTGAACTTAAAACAAACTAAGCAAACAACTAGAACCGGAACAGAATCACAGAAATACAGATCACATGGAGGGTTATCAGTGGAGAAGTGGGAGGGGGAGAGAGGGGGAAAAGATACAGAAAATAAGTAGCATAAATGGAGGTACAAAATAGACGGAGAGATTAAGAATAGTATAGGAAATGTAGAAGCCAAAGAATTTATATGTACGACCCATGGACATGAACTAAGGTGGGGGAATGTGGGTGGGAGGGGGTGTGCACGGTGGAGGGGAATAAAGGGGGGGAAATGAGACAACTGTAATAGCATAATCAATAAAATACGTTTAATTGAAAAAACAAGCAGGGAGCAGCCAGCAGGTGACTTGCTCTTCCTTCCCCAGCAGCATTCTCTCTGGCCTTTCCTGCGTAGCCTGTGAGTCCGTGTGGTCAGGTCAGTAGCAGACCACCTGTATTTCTCCTCTTCCCTGATCACTTACTTCCCTTATTCCCTAACTCTAGCTTCCCTGAGTTTTCAGCCCTTCTCCCCGCCAATAAAACTCTTAAAACTTTGCCGCAGACTGTTTTTCAGGGCAACCAGGCTAAGAGAAGTGGGCCTCTAGTTCGAGGGAGGCTGTGGCTGGAGCTGTTAGCACTTAATCCGATAGAGTGAGCATAGAAAGAGAAGAGCCATAATCGTGTCCTGGTGTCCCTACAGCTTGGGATAAGAGGAGGGAACCTGAAAGGGGTAACAAGAAAGGGCATATGAAGTAAGAGGAACATGAGGAGGTGACATCTAAGAAGCCTTTCCAGGAGGGTGGGGAACCTCAGCATCTGAATAGGCCCTAGGACTAAAGGGAGCCATGGCAGGGCACAGCTGGAGGAACTGGAGTCAAGAGTGGATGTTCGTTAACATAGAAGTGCACCGTGTTTGGGTGCTGATGCAAATGATCTAGTAAAGGGCAAGTGGTGGTACCACAGATCACAACAGAACAAATGCTGACAGGCAAGAGGCAGTTGGACTGGATGCACAGTGTAAGGCATTGACTGGAGGGCAGCCCCTCTGGCCACATCTGCCCTGGGATGGGTTCCACGGGGGGCTGGGCCAGGCACCACCCTCTGTCCACAGAGGTCATGACAGGGACCTGGACCTAAGTCCCAGCTCTTTGAATTCTGTGGTCCAGGAACTCAACCGGCCTATTTACTACGTGGGAAATGGGAGTGGTAATAGTTCCTACTCCCACAGGTCAATGTGAAGTACTTGGCACTGTAAATGCTCAACAAATGTGACTTGTCTTACCAATGACCTAGATAGAAACGTAAGAGTTATTTGGGCTCCTACTATGCTGGGCTGGAAGGAACCCAAAGAAATGGTTACTGTCTAACTGGGGGTCCAGGGATCTGTGGAAGAGACCTAGCAGTGGCACAGGGCTGGTAAGTCCCATATCAGATGAACTATCTCCGATGCTTGTCCACACTCCTTGGTCTCAAACTAAATACATCAGCCATAAGTCAGTCCAGGAAACCCAGGGATGTTGAAGACTCAGAGCATCCTTGAAATGACATCTGGCCACCCACAGGAAAGGAATAGACATGCCCCAACTCCCACCCGCACTGGCTTGTGGGCTCTGCCCACTTGGACAAGTGCCCCTAGGGGCAGAGGGCATTCTCCCTCCCAGTCAAGAAGGCTAGAACCCTTTGAAGAAGCTAGGGTCCAGTGGGGTGTCGTGGGAAAAGGCCTAGAGTCTGCAGAAGACCAGGGCCAGAGAGCTGTGTTCCCCTTTCCTGAGGGCTTGGGGGAAGACACTGGAGCCCTCGGGCCTCAGTTACACATTCATAAAAGGCCGCTGCTCAGAGGAGCGAGGTCAGGTCCCCTCTGTCCATCCCCCGGGCTACCGCAAAGGCGGAGCCCAGTGTCCGCCTTGTACTGCTTGACTGCTCCTTGTGAGGGGCAGTGAGGGCCCCAGCCCCTTGCCCCTGCCCCACGATTGTGATGGGCAGGTCAGCCTCTTGAGGGTTTGGGGGGGTAGTGGAAGGAGGGCGGGGCGGAGGGCTCTAGCCCCGATCGAGGACTAGTGCTGGGGGTGGGGGGTGCGGGCTCGGCCCCGCCCTGCGCGCCCCCGCTGCAGCCAGTGCGCGCTCCCAGGAGGCGTTCGAGGTAGAAGCAGCACCAGCACCTTCCGCAGCAGCAGCAGCCGCTACGGGCGGTCTCGGGCGGGGTCGGTCTGACTGACCCAGGGACTGAAGGCACCGGGGGTGCGCCGCCCGCTGGGGCCGGCCATGGAAGGAGGTTCCTTCGGAGCAGGCCGTGCGGGGTCTGCCTTGGACCCCGTGAGCTTCGCGAAGCGGCCCCAGACTCTGCTGCGGGTCGTGTCCTGGGTGAGTGGACCCTGCCCCGGTACCCGATCCCACCTCGCCTGGCATGCCTTTTCCTAACCCCTTACCCCTCACCCCCATCCTTTTCCCTGCTGGCCCCCTCCCCCTCCAGCCGTTGGCTGGGGTGACGTCACCAGGCGGGCGCGCCCACCGGTGGGCGGGGGAGGGGTCGGGGACGACAACCCGGGACTTTGGGAGGTCACTGCCCGCCGACCCTACCCCCAATTGCTCCTTAGGTCTCATTGTGCCCCTTTTCAGTCCTTGCTCCGTTTTCCCTATTCTTGTGACCTGGAAGCAGGCACAGGGGTGGGGACGGCATTCGAGGAGGGGATCGGGCCGCCGTTCTCAGCCCCAGGAGGGGGCTACGGGAGCCGAGAGGATCAGGCAGACCCTCTCCCCTGCTTCTCCTGCACACATATTCTCCAGGCTCCTTGGAAGGGACCTATCCGTTCCCAGGCCCCCCAATTTCATCTGTGAGTTTGGGGGGTGCTCGGGTATCCTGGGTGGGGTAGCCAAATGGGGCTCTGCTTTGGGAGGGCTGACTGGAGGTGGTGTGGAAGGGGCAGATTCTGGGGGCAGCCTAGCTACTGAGGCATCCCTAGACCAGGTGACCTGCTCCTCCCTCCCACTTCTCCAAGTAGGAGAGATGGGAGGTAGGGTGCTGAGTTCTGGAGGTAGCAGCTGGTGATAGCTGCACCTACTGGCTGGTTTTAGAGTAGGGCGGTGCCCGGGGTGTTGCAGGGGGCCTCTGCCTTTTCAGGGGGGGAGTTGCTCTGTCTGACCAGGATGCAGGAACCCTACCTTCCTGTCCCAGCTCTGATTCAACTTGTGGACCACTCCTGGGGTACAAGTCCACATCCCGCATCTCAGTTCCCCTCTTGACTAAGTCTCTAGGTGCTGGGGTGGGGAAGGAGAGAAATGAAATTAAACTGGAGATTTAAAAAAAAAAGGCCTGCCCAAAGCTGAAAGGGCAGCGTCTGGTTTAAAATGACCACAGTTCACCTCTTACCTGCCTTCCAGCCCTTGTGGCGCGGCAGGGTGGTGTTTGAAATGCAGAGGTCAATCCTGTTGCCTTTTGAGCCCAAACACTGATGTGTGGCATTAATAATCACAGTAATGTGGGGTCATCACCGCTTGAGTGCCACAAATATAGGATGCTGGGTGGGCATTCTTTCTCTCCCCAACATCCCATGAACTGACTCTGTCACTACATATGACACGACAGGAAACAGGGCTGAACTGCTCCTACATGCTGTGGGCGGGTCCCACACAGGGCCTGGCCCACAGCCCTGTGCAGCTGCCCCTCTGTTGCACCCCCTACACTCTGGCCTCTCTCTCCCGACTCCATACCTACCTCCCCCAGCACCACCGGCTCAAGCCTGGAATCACCTGTCCAGGTGAAGGCTCCTGTTCCCATACTCTTGAGTGGGCCGTGAGGAGGCACTACCAGCCCCGTGCAGTGCGGAAGACCCAGCTGGAATGTCAGCCCCGGCTCTTATCAGCAATGGGACCTCAGACAAATCACTTCACCTGTTGGAGCCCTAATTTCCTCATCTGTAAAGGGAATAAGAACGATGAATGGCACCTTCGTGATTTTCTGGGAGCATTCTATGAGTGAACGCATGTAAAGTAGCAGTTTTAAGCACGGTGCCTGGACATAGGAGTTGCTCACCAAATGGTACATGTTGTCCATAATTACTAAATAACTGAGGGAGGTATTAAGGGAAGGGTGCCTGAAGACCCTCACCCAGAGACAGGGGCCCTGTGCCTCAAGGGAACGCAGGGACAGTCCCAAAGGCCACGCGGTGGGCCACGGAGACCTCAGTCCTCGGCAGGAAGGGGCGCCACTGCCAGGGCTTGAGCACCACCCGCCGCCCGCAGGTGTTCTCCATCGCCGTCTTCGGGCCCATTGTCAATGAGGGTTACGTGAACTCCGAAAGCGGTCCGGAGCTGCGCTGCGTCTTTAACGGGAACGCAGGTGCCTGTCGCTTCGGCGTCACGCTCGGCCTCGGGGCCTTCCTCGCCTGCGCCGCCTTCCTGCTGCTGGACTTGCGCTTCCAGCAGATCAGCAGCGTCCGCGACCGCCGTCGAGCGGTGCTGCTGGACCTGGGCTTCTCAGGTGGGTGTGGCCGGGCCGGGAGAGGCAGGCCGGAGACTGGAGCGCCTGGGGCTCCTAGGGGGCGGAGCCGCGGGAGGGCATCTGGATGCTCAGGTGGGTGGGATAGGAACTGGGCAGTGCCGGGCCTCCAGGCATCTCGAAGCCTGTTCCCAGCGTGGTTAAGGGGAGTGTTCCAGTGGAGGGCGCCTAACCCATACGCTTGCCCGCAGGGCTTTGGTCCTTCTTGTGGTTTGTGGGCTTCTGCTTCCTCACCAACCAGTGGCAGCGCACGGCGCCCGGGCCAGGCACCACGCAGGCTGGAGACGCAGCACGGGCAGCCATCGCCTTCAGCTTCTTCTCCATCCTCAGTTGGGTGAGTGCGGCCTGCGGGTGATGAGGGCCGGGCCAGACTGGGGTCCGCTCTGGCTGACCCCGGGCTCCTCTTCAGGTGGCGCTCACAGTGAAGGCCCTGCAGCGGTTCCGCCTAGGCACCGACATGTCGCTCTTTGCCACCGAACAGCTGGGCACCGGGGCGGGGCAGGCCTACCCTGGCTACCCAGTAGGCAGCGGTGTGGAGGATGCCGAGACCTACCAGAGCCCTCCCTTCACCGAGACCCTGGATACCAGCACCAAAGGGTATCAGGTGCCCGCCTACTAGTTAGTGGCTGGTGGGCTCAGACTAGGGCCAGAAGGCTGCCCCACCAATGCAGGGCCCACGGCCCCCTGCGACCTCCCTTAGGCCCTGGTCCAGCTCTAGGGATGGAGGAGTGGCCACTGTGGGCTGTCTGGGACCAAGAGAGGATAGCCTCCAGAGTGCCAGGGCAGTCCCCCCAAGTCTCCCCAGTACCTTTACTCTCCAGCCCCAGGCCTGAGGTCTTGAGGGGACAGCCTAGCCCTGGACATGTGTGCTCCAGCCTCCAGTGGATCAGCCTGGGCAGGGGGCCATTCCTCTCATGAGGCAGCCATCCCAGGGCTTACTTGTCCACTCTGGAGTCAGGGATCCAGCTGCCCTCCATAGCCAGGTGCAGGACCTGCCCCAGACTGGGGGCAGTATTGCCTCCGCCCCCATGCCATGACCAGGGAGCATGGCTGATGGCCAGTGTTCCCCATCTCATGTCACTGGGGATAGTGGCAGTTCTTGCTCCTGCGGTGGTTGTTGACCGCACAGGGCCACGTGCTCTCTGTAGCCTCCCTCCCATTCCTCTCACCTGCTCACTAGAGTAGCCTGGCCTTGTTGATGTTGTGATTGTGGTCTTCAAGTTTCACCTGGTAGTTTCCATGCCCTGCCCCAGGCCTCTGCCTGAGTGGGTGGTTCTGGCGGGGAAGGCACAGCATGGCTGTAGGCCTGGCCACCAGCCTTCTCTCAGCCCTTCAGTAAGACCTTACCCAAGGGAGGCTTGGGACACCTGTGTGCCTGGCAAGACAAGCCCTGGAGAGGAGAGAGGCTGCATTTGCCCACGGTGCCCTGGAGACACCATTCTGTGCAAACCCCTTTACCTTGGTTTCCTAGACCAGTCCTTCAGCTCCCCACCCTGCACCCCATTTTAAGGCCCAGTTCAAGGTTGGGGTTCCTCTGTATAGCCGAATACTCATGCATTGCTCAAAGCTGGCTTTTCACATTATACCAGATGCGGTTGCCACATTCAATTCTTTCAAACCGACACCTCCCTCTGGAGTTGCAATTGAGTGACAACCCTGTACATTGTAGCATAGATCAATTATGTGTGGATATTTAAGTGAACATGTTTACAACTTTTGTATATATGGATTTCTCCTGTCCTCTGAAAGAACAATCCGTGATTGTGTATTTTCAGTGTCCCATGTTCCAACTGCAAGTTCTTTACAATAAAGATTGTAGCCCTGGCTGGTGTGTGGCTCAGTGGATTGAGTGCCAGCCTGTGAACCAAAGGGTTACCGGTTCCATTCCCAGTCAGGGCACATGCCTGGGTTGTGGGCCAGGTCCCCAGTAGGGGACATGTGAGAGGCAACCACACATTGATTGTTTCTCTCCCTTTCTCTCTCCCTTCCCCTCTCTCTCAAAATAAATAAATAAAATCTTAAAATAAAAAATAAAGACTGTAAATGAGTTTACTGTGGCCCAGATGCACTTGGACTCATTTCTCCCCCTACCCCTTTCAAGTGGCAGATGCTGGGATCTGAAGGGCACCAGTCCCCAGAATCTAGGAAGGGACAGGGAGGTGGAGGCCAGGCTGACCTCCATGTTCTGGGGGCTCCAGGTCCACCAGCCCCTCACAACACATCACACTGGGTTGGAACTGAATGGCACTCTGAAATGCTGGGGAGACCCCCATCTCTTTTATCCCTCTTATAATAGGATAACTAAATATTTCTTGTGGGAGTATATCTTTAGAAGTTCTTCATCAGTCAATGGATGTGAACTTTGAGTCTACGTGATTTCCATTTTCTTGAAGGATAGTTTTACTAGTTACATACATAAGTCATCTTCCTTAGAACTTTTGGACCTTACACTGCTAACGAGAACAGTGGTAACAGTGCAGTTTGCATTCCTTCGCAGGTTATCTGCATTTTGGTAATAATTTTTTTCTAAGTTGTGTGTCTAGATGTGGCTTGAAAATATTGTTAGTGGTTTTTTTTTTTTTAACAATTCTTCAGTGCTTGGAAATGGCATTCATGATTTCTCCAGATGTCCCCTATTCACCCACCACCTTCTGCTCCTGGGACCACCATCAGGTGTACCATGCAGCTTCCGGAGCCACATTCTAGGACCAGCTGCCCTTCAGAGATTTCCCCAGCTTGGTCTTGTTTACTTTGGAACCCAACTATTTTTATGTCCCCTTTTTATTTCTAAGATTTGTAGTTGGTTAATGTCCTCCAGGTTCAGTGAAGCAGTGACGAACTGTTGCAGCTGGAATGCTGGCCTTGCTACATTGCAGCCTGGTCATCTCAGGTGAGCCCTCTTGTCTGCTTCAGGTTCCTTTTTTAAAAATTTTATTGTTCAATCAGTTTTATTTTCTCCCCACCCCTTCCCCCACCCCCAGGTTCCTCTTCTGTGAAAGGATGATCGTTCCCAGTGCAGAGGGTGGGATGGTGATGTGTAAACCACATTAACACATGTGAAGAGCTCAAGCAGTGCTCATCACACAGCCAGAACTAAAGTGTCACCTAGATTTATGGGTTCTGATTAAGAATAGCATTTTCGGGGGGGGCTGGGAGGGGAGTAAAAAACAGAAAACTGTACTTGAACAATAAATAAATAAATAAATTTTTTTTTTTGGGGGGGATAGTATTTTCAGTATCATTAATGCAATCCCAGTTTCCGGATTACTCTTCTGTGGGGTTAGTTGTGCTCAGATCTGCAGAGGGTATCACAATAAGGTGCTTCCAGTGTGGTGGGAAATGCAAGTGGCCTCTCTGTGGCCCCTGACGCACTGCCCCATGGGGGGCGGAGCGGAGGCCCTCCTCTCCTGGGAGCACAGAGTGCGGCATCCTGCACAGGGGCACTGCTGTGGTCCCGACACAGGCAGGCAGCGATAATGCGGCCATGTGGCTCCGGCCTGGTTCCTCTTCAGGCCACCCACTGACTTTGGCCTTCATCACTATGGGTGTCCCCTTCTGCTTTTAGAAAGACATCTGTTTTTTCCTAATCTAAGGATGTTTCCTCTGCCTTACATGGATGTAGTGAGAATTTTTTCCTCTTTATGTGTTTGGGGCAGAAAGGGGAGATTTCGGTATGTCTGGGCCCCTTCCCAAATACTAGATCACAAACTTTCTTACAGATATTCAGATGTGCTCCCCCACCCCCTGCCCACTGTTTTCTAACTTGTTCTTGATGAAGTTCATCTTTAGCAGCTCGTTCACCCATCCCTAGATGTAAACCTTGTGTCTGTATACCTGTCATTCTGGAAGCATAGTTTTACCGGGTGCAAAGTGTCGGTCAGGTATGGCCGCCTGTTCTCACAGCGCCAGTCCTCCAGGACTGGGACCCCAGGGGGGGCCTCTACTTCTGTGAGCAAAGCCCAGCTCTCCCCGTAAGCCTTCTACTAGCTGACCACCTGAGCTGTGACGTGTAGACTCAAGTTCCCCTCCCTACTGAGTGACCTCAGAAGGCAGAGCTCACAATGCCAGCTTTGTGCATTATTGCAAAATAAATTTATTTGGAAGATAAACTTTTATAAAAGGTCAGAGGCAATTTGAGATCCCAGATGCAGCTTGTCTCTTAGAAAGGTTTAACTTCAAGTAGAACAATTTTGTGTCTGCTTTGAATCCTGAACATTCTTGAATCATGAAACAGCCAACTGTTCACACAACACACTCAACATCTTACTCCAGCAAGTGGACCCAAAGCTTCAGGCTTAGGGGCCAGGGTGCTACAGGAGGTCCCGGATTGGGTTGCTGCAGCCACTGGCTCTGACAGCATGGACAAGTCCTGGCATCCTAGCCCTTCCCTCTCCTGGCACTTGCCAAAATCATGATATAAACCCAGCCTGGTCCACCCCCAAGGCAGGGGTATCTGCCCAGGTCCCAGGAGGAAACCAGATGGACTCCTGCCTGACAATGTGCTGATACAGTAGGGTAGGCAGTTCCTGGTGGGCTGGCCAACCAAGGACCCTGAACAGGTGGCCTCACCAGAGCCTTACCTGGCTGCCTGGCAGCCCGGGAGGAGGAGAGACAAAGGAGGCTAATGGGCGTGGCTGCTCTTGCCCATATAACAGCAGCTATGTGAGGGTCCTGGCAACAGCTTGCAGGGAGGGGAAGTCATCATCCTGGGCAGTGTGCAGAGCCTGGTGGCTGCTGACATCACCATTTGCAAGCACCTGCTGGCAGGTGGGGCACACACAGCAGTCCAGGCCAACCTGTCGGGTGCTGGCCTGCCACGCGCTCTTCTTGTTCCTCTTGGCCTTGGTGCTGGGTAGCCTCTCTTGGCCTCGGAAGTCTGTATGTGCAGACAGCAGCTCCTGCTGCTTGGCTGTGTCAGGCAGGAGTACCAGCAGCTCATTGAAGATCTTATGGAAGTTCTCCCCAAGCAGGTCCCGGCAGCTCTTATAATACTGGGCTGCAGAGATCACGCCCTGCCACCCAGAGGCAGAACCAGTCACCCCCGGCCCAGGCCTGGGCCCCAGGTGGCAGGCTGCACCCTCACACCCCCACTACTGCCTCCCCCTGCTGGCCTGACCTGTCTGAACTCCCCCGAGTGACTTTTGAACTCGCTGAAGCGGGCTTCATCACTCTGCAAGAAGTCCTTGATAGACTGGATGAGCTGCAGGTTCCTCTCCCTGAAGTTCTCGGGAACCAGGTAGGCCCGAGGTGCTGGTGTCAGCCTGGGTCTGGGGGTCAGTAGATGGGACACTTCAGTCTTTGGGGTATCCCAAGGTGAGGGAATTCTCCCCTGGCCCCCAGGAGCACAAGGCTGGACAGCCCACCGCACTTACGCTTTTGTGGTGGTGGTGGTGCTGGGGACACAGGCAGGGTGTGAGCTGGGCAGGCTGGAGAAGCCAGGGGGTGGTTTGCTGACTGGGGGCACCAGACCTGGCGGAGGTGGGAGTGGAGTGGAGAGCACCACAGTGCTGAAGCCTGTGGAGGTGGCACACCAAGACCCAGATAATAACCCTCACTGGCTGAGGACAGCCAGGCCTCATCCCTTACTTCCCACAGGCTGCCCAGCCCACCCATGTCAGGCTTCCATCCAGACCACAACTCCCTTGAAGAGCAGGCCCAGAGCCTGATGACACCCAAAGCCAGCACGCATGCTGTGCTCCCCTGCGGCAAATCCTTGCCTAAGTTAACTCATCTGCCCTTGTCTTGAGGGCAAGACTGCCCAGTTTTACATAGAGCAAAGGGACACAGAGGTTACATGGTGGACCAAGGTCACACTGCTACAGATGGTGGCCTCTGTATCCAGATTTCCACTCTGCTTCCAAGGCAGCTGGAAACCACTGCACAGGCTCACCTCTCCCCATCTATAGTCCTGCGCCCGCTGGTACAACACAACCTCGGGCCTGGGGCAGCTCCAGCCTGACTCTACTACCCTGGCCCCTTCCCAGATGTTCAGAAGCAGACCTGAGCCAGCTGCACCTACCTGGGGGAGGGGGCATCCTGGGTGGGCAGGGGCTACTGCCAAGCGCTGGGAAGTCTTCCTGAAGTGTGGGGCAGGGGAGGGGCCCCAGGGGCCGTGAGAGCCCAGGGGGTTCCTTGGGGACACTCCGAGTGGGGCCTGGCCCCTCTGTGTGTCCATTGACAATGACAGCAACTGGCCCCTCGGCTCTGCCTGTGGGGGCCTGCTCAGCCCCAGGGGGGCCAACACTCTCAGGCAGGGGTGATGCAGCACCCAGCTTCTCAGAGCCCACCTTCTTCTTCTTGCCAACTTTGGTGAAGGTCTGGGTCGAGGCCAGTGCCAACAGGGAGGCAACAGGGACCGCGGTGGGCACACTCCGTAGCTCCTGGGCGGTAAGGCCAGCACGGCCATCCTCTTCCTCCTCCTCCTCCTCCATGGGGGGTGGCCCACCCTTCTTGCCACCTTTAACTCCCTTTCCAGCCTTCCTGGGGGGATGACTGCCCCCGCTGGCGGCCCGAGACCCTGGGGTGGGCTGTACCACCTTCTTGCTGCTGGTGCTATTCCAGGCGGAGATGAGGCTAGTGGGGGCTGTGCTGGGCTTGGAGATGGAGGACACCAGGGCAGGGAAGTCATCCTCCTGGAAGGTGTTCCTGCCCCTGGCAGGAACAGGGTACACCAGTGCCAGCCCCACAGGGCCCAGGGCTGCTGCTGTGGAGCAGGAGGAAGTGGAGGTGCAGAGACTGGGGAAATCTTCATCCTTGAGCTTCGAAGTGGGGGGCAAGAGGGTGCTGAGCCCAGGGAGGGGAGAGGGGTCAGCGGTTGGCCAGGCCCTGGACTGCCCCTGCACCCACCCACCCTCCAGAGGACCTCCATGCTTTCACCCCAGTTCATATATATGTGTACCTCAGAAGTGTGGCCCCTGCAGCTGGGCTGCTTGCTGGGAAGGCCTCTTGGCTTACAGGACCATCCATAGAGGCTTCCTTGGGGCCTACAAGACACAGTGGGATCCCAGGTCAGGGCTGACCAACGTTGAGGGGGCAGAAGCAGGACCTCTGGGGTGACTAAGGAGCTTCCCAGGAGGCTCCTAGGCCCAGGCAGAGCTGTCTGCAGGTGGAACTGGCTCACCTGGGCCTTCACCCTGAGCCCGGAGCAGGCGCCGGGGCCCCCGGGGCTCCTCAGGTCCCCACACCCCTGCCTCCTCCTTCTTGAGCCTGCTGCCTTCCTCCCGGTCCTCGCTCCTGTGTGTCTCCTGCTTTTGTTGCATGGCCACCGAGGCCCGGATGGCAGCTGCCACTTCTCGGTCCTCTTCTTCCCTGAAATGGGGAGGCCTTCAGATTAGACAAGGCCCTGGACTACAGCAGTGTGCTGGGAGGAGCTCCGTCCCTAGGAAGTCTGGATACCAGGAGGCTGCCAGGAGCTAGGTCTAGTCCACCCTTGCTGGTCACAAGGGGGAGCTGTGGAGCAGCACGAGTCCTCCCCGCAGTCTTAGGCTATAGGCAGCACCTATGTTTAGTGCTCTGGGGTAGCTAGCACCAGGGGTCTGCAGATGCCTGGATCCTGCTTGGCACTGGAGGCGGCCCCCAGCCCAAGTGTGTGCCAGCACTGGTGTTTCATGGCACAGCTGCACCAACTTCAAGTAACTCAAGCCCTTCTCACCCACCCCTACCTACAGGTCCTGGTGGGTCTGGCAGAAACTAGAGGGAAGAGGAGGATACGTCTGCTCATTGAGGACACTAGGCAGACCTTATTGCCATGCCCGGAACACCGGATGCCAGAAGTCCAGAGTCCCTTGATCCCTGTGCCTGCTCCTAGCCCAGCTCTGGGCTGCTACCACCATAGTGGTGGTGCCAGGATAATGTCAGCAGCATGCAAATCTTCCCACCTCTTATACCTCCAGCTTCCTCGGCGGCTCTGCTGGGATCCACGGCTACTGGTCCGGCCTGCTCGACCCTGGCGGTTATACCTGTCCACCTCCTCATAGTCCTCACCACTGACGATCCCTGTGGCCGGCACACAGCCTGTCATGAGCCCAAGCCAGACTGATACTTATAGACCAGAGGCTTCCCTGCCCCACAGCACACGAGCCCAAGGGACAGGGTCAGACACCTTGAGGGGTCCACATCAGCCTCTGGCTTCTACAGCCTAAGCACCAGCTCAGAGCAAAAAGTGGGCTCGGAGAGGGGTCTGGGCCTGGTAGCTGCACAGCCTCAGGGCAGGTCCCACACACAGCAGGCTCAACAACCCTCTGACCAGAACAGCGGACCCAAGATGCTGTGGAAACTGGCCAGGCAAAAGAGTGCCTGCCATGAGAGTGCGCTCAGAGGAAAAGCAGGCTTAACAGGTGTCCCTCGTCCTCACTGACACATGAAGGGTCTAGTCAGGACCTAAGTCTGAGGCCTCCAGAGCAGGAAAATGTGAACCCTGTCTCAGAAGCACCAGGCTGGAGCCCTTGAGAGCCCCGCTCACCTTCGTTCCGACGTGAGTGCCGTGGTGTATAGCTGAACTGCAGGTCGATCTGGCGGTTCTGGCGGGCCTCAGCACGGCTGCGGCTGTGGCAGGCTGTCTTGTGGGCCTTGAGGTCGATCTCGGTGCGGAAGGCATGGGTGAACTGCTCAGTACTGCAGCGGCCCTCCTCACAAAGGAAGTGCTTCTCCCGGAAGTGATCACGCAGATAGGCATAGTCGCTGACAGGGTGTCAGCAAGAGCCTTGTCAGCCCCACCACCCTAGCCAGTGGCCTCTGCCCAGCCTGCTCCAGGTGTCCAGTATAGGGACCACCCCATGCTGCCCAGCACCCACCTGTAATAGTCCTGGGCCCCATCCGCGTCACAGAAGTGGCAGAAGTAGTGATCTCGACGCAGGTGCTTTAGCAACTCATCATTGTCCAGGTAGCGCTCATCACAGAATTTGCAGAGTGGGTGCCCACGATGTGATGTGTCATCAGGGTCTCCCTGCATGCGGTGCCGCGCCAGATCCTTGCGTGAGTACCACTTGCGCTCGTATGTGAAGATCTGAAAGGAATGGGGCACGGGGTGCAGGCTCCCGGGCTTCCCACCCCTTCCCACAGCCTGACTGTGAGGAGGGACCCTGATGGTGGCAGTCTGCTTTAGGGCTGGCAGACACCAGGAGCCTATCTCGTCACTGGGAGCCCCACCCTGCCTCGGCTATATGCAGCCTGAATGCCCCCCTTTCTGTCCAGGGATCCGTGAGGGGAGGATGCTGGGGGGGCTCTAGGGGTCTGGCCTGTCCAGAGTCGGAGGCAGCAACCAGCCTCTCAAAGCTGTTTGACGAAGCCACACCATGTCACTCCTTTACAGGACCTGGTCACCATCTACCTCTGCCCGGGGTTCCCCCTGGGTCCCTGAGAGCCCCAGGTAGGTGCTGTGTGGGTGGGGACGCACCTTGAGGTATTTGAGACACAGCTTGCAGCAGAAGAGCTCATGCTGCTTCCTCATGTGCTGCTCCAGGTTCCCGAAGAGGCTGAAAGGTGGCAGCTCCGGGCACCTTGGGCACTCATGCTGCAGCAGCTGCCTGGGAGACACCGAGAGCCACCCGCCCCCGCAGACACTCAGTGTTGCGATCTGAAGCAAGCACTGGCACCTCCTCACAGCCCCGCACTCCATGCCCCTGTAGCTGCCCTGGGAGCAGGAGCCAGGACAGGCACTGCCACCTGTGCCCTCCATGGCACTGACCTGAGTCAGATAGTGCTGGGCCCAGGGTCAGGAGCTGCTCCCTGCCAGGGCCCAAGTCAAGCAAGGCCACAAGATGGGATTGGGCCTATGATCCATGGCACTACCCGCTGCTTCAGGTGGACATGATAAGCCCACACATGGAGGCTGGAGTCAAAAGCCCAGATTCCAGCCAAGCCAGACGTCACCCCTCCCCTGAAAGACTAAGACCACGCTATGACAACTATACCCTTTCATGAGCTTTTTCTGCCATGAGCCAAAAGAGCCTGATTTGCAGTAGCTCTTGTGCACCTCAAAAGGCTCCAGAAAGCAGGCAGTAGGTGCTATGCCAAGAGCACTTTCCCTGAATTCACCCCCTAATGGGAATCTCTATCAACCCCAGGAGGGGTGCTGTAAGCGTCTCCAGTTACAGGAAACAGAGGACAGGAACCCAGACACCTAGCTCTGATGTCCATGCTGCACCAAGTGCCCCTACCCTCCTGGGGGTTTTAAGGCGCACAGGAGGTGATGGGGATTCGCCCACCCCCGGCCACAAAGTGCCCCACAGATGTATGCTGGGCAAAGACCCTGGGAGCCCAAACAGATGCTTCCTTCCTCACCTGTACAGGGCAAACACTTTCCCGTCAGCAAAGTAGATACCATACTTCTTCTCATGCTGCAGCTGGTGAATGGCAATTGTGGCGAAGGCAGGAAGTTTCTTCCCGAAGACCACCTGGAACCAAAAGTGCGAGGGCCTGGTGAGCAAGGCAGTGGAGGTCACAATCAGGAGAAGAAATGGCACTCAGGGCTCCTCCTGGGAGGCCAGTGGCAGGCCCCCGCAGCAGCACCCTCTTCTCTGGGCCACTGGAGACCCCTCTCCATGTACTTGAGGTTGCTGGGACAGAGATGCAACGCCTAGCCTCGCCAACAGAGGGTGACTGGCTGACCACTCATTCAAAGCCAAGCACACACCTGGACAGACAAAGGCGGCTCCAGAGACAGTGATCCCCAGGCACAATGACAGAGACAGAAGTCTAGGCAAAACAGGGTTTAATCACATGGGGATTGAGTACAGGACAGTTTTCATGCTCTTCACAGAGTGCAAGAGCAGCTAAGGAAACAATGAATGCTGCCAGGCCAGGATGCATAAGGACACCGTGTGTCAGGGCCTGGCTACCCTGCTTCCACCCACGATGTTTCCTCATTGCCACAGGAAAAGGGCGCCTCCAAAGAACTTAGTCTTGTCCCCGGTGGTTCCTGGCCAGCTTCCTCCCTGTTAACTGGGCTGTCTGTGGGTGCCAAAGGGACAAGCTGGTGTGCATGTGACAGGGCTGGATGCAGAAACCTCCAGAGCCCAGCAGCTTCTCAGGGGTCTCCAGCACTCGTGGGTGAAGCCTGCTGGGCCTGCCTGCCCTTCTACAGACCCCTGCACAAGCAATAACCAGGCCCCCGTCCAAGTGCCCAGGCCTCCCCTCAGTTCCCACAAGGACACTGTTCTTTCCAGGACTCCCTCATCTTGGAGCGCTCCTTTGGCTCTGGCCCCCCACTCCCCTCCCCTTGGATCAAGACACAGCCTGTCTTCTCTCTATGTCCCTTCCTGCTCCACCACTGTCCCCTGGCCTGGGGCTGGTTGCTTGCCTCAGCTCAGAGTCCTCACCAACACATGGGGGATGAAGGGATTTTCACATTGAGAGAGGTTATGACAAAGTCATCCCTTTATGGTTAGACTCAGCCAGGGAGGATGTTTGGGACCAGAATGGCTATGAACCCGGGAAAGGACAGGACTGGCTGGGGAGAGCGGGTGGTCATGCTGTCCCCCAGCAGCAGGGCAGTTAAACCTGGTTCCCTGGTTAAGGAGCCAGGGAGCTCAGCCTCTTCTTAGCACCCTGAGAGAGAGCAGGAAGCTGACACTCAGGCCTGCCCCCTACTCTGCCTCCAAGGGAGGCGTCATGGTCCAACTACACCCATTCTGGGGGGGGGGGGGGATGTGCAGGGCCCAAACAGGCCTTTCTTCCCCAGTCCTCACGTGTGGCAAGGCTAAGCACTGCCCTCTACCACACACTGACCTGAGTGGGAGCCTCATCCCAGCTGAGCTCCCATGTCCTCAGAGGGTAGTTTCAGCTCCACCACCAAAGGGTTACCCTCCCCACCCCTCCCCAGCTTACCCTCAGGCCTAAGCCTCAAGATGGCCTCTTCTCACAGGACCTGCCCAAGCCCAGCCCTGCCTTCTGACTCTAACCCAAAGCCCAGTTCCGCCGGCATCCCACTCGGGGAAGGCAGCCTGCAGTCCCAGCACCACAAGGCTGGGAGCTACCGGCTCGAAGAGGCACCTTAGCTAGGGTAAGGCAACACAGGCTGCAGATTTAGGAGTTTCGGCACCTGCCTGCAAAGTGACCACATGTGAGCAGCTCCACAAGAGAACCCCTTAAGGCTGCCAAGAAGCATCTAAGCACAGCAGAGGAACGACAGACTTGCATCCCAGAGAAAGCCTGTGCCGGGACATCCTGTCACATCATCTCCCTGCTCCAGTGCTCTCTTTTCAGAGGTAAGCTCCCATCTACTATAGGTGATGTCTCCTTGGGCTGCAGGTACCCTTGCCATGGACACAGGTGGGGTGTAGGTCTCCAGACCAATCACTAGACAGCTTGGTGGGCACTTGTCACTCCTGAGAGATCTGGTTGGGCAGCCCAGGCTGGGCACATCTGAGCCAGGCTAGGAAAAGGGGGACATTAGGTTGGCTCAGGGAGGGACTGGAACCAGGAATAGGCTTGGGAGAGGAAGGTGACCATGCAAGCGCACGGCTGGGGTTTTCTGAGAATGAGGGTGAGCAGGTTTGGAGCCAGGGGTGTGGAGTGGGGATACAATGATTTCCCCTCCCAGACAGGACTGGGCCTCCCCCAGGCCTGCACCAGAGGCCATGCCCAGCAATGAGCAAATAAGGGGACAGCAGGGCAGCCTAGTACAGCTAAGTGTCCTTGGCCCCAACAGAGGGTGAGGGGAGTGGTGAAACTGAGTGGCTAGAAAAGGACAAGAGCATGGTAGCCTGGCCAGGGATGGGCAAGAACATACCAGAGACCCAACCAGACACACCCATCCTGGTGATCACTTGATGGAAGAGGTCACGTGTCCATGCACAGAGGCGAAGTCAGGCCTAGCTACTTGAGGATGGGCCATCTTGGGCAGCTCCTGAGTAAACCATGTAATAAATGACCAAGGGGGAACTCGCACCCCTGGGTACACCCAGGATGGCCAGGGTAGTCCTTGAGAGAAAGGGGGAGATGGGAGTGAGAGAGCTCCCCTCAGGGCACTCCACGGGGAGGAGTCTGCGGCCTTACCACTCTCCACTCCCCGTATGCAGTGGGCGCTCACTAAGGCTGAGCTCCTGAGAGGACGGTGGTGCCAGAAGTGACCACTGGTAAGAGTGAGCCAGATGGTAAGGAATGGGCAGTGAGGATGGCCCCGGCGCAGGGGAGGGAACGTAGTAGGGGCCCGTGGGGACCATCCCACGTATAACACAGGCACCAGAAGAGCCCAGATGATAATCTTAGAGGAGATCCAGGACCAGGATGGTAAGGAGGAGGCAGCAACAATAGAAAAGCATGACCTGAGTCAGCAGGTCCTACCTCAGAACCTGCCTTCAGCTTTCTCTCCCACTTCCTGCCTGTGAAATGGGGGTTGGGACTGTATTAGGTGGTCTGCAGAGCCTCTCCTAGCTCAGACACATCACATTTTGTACAGCAGCCCCATCAAGCTTCGCTGATATCACTGAGGATCACAGCAAGGTCGAAAACAAGATGAGAATCATATTTCAGAAGAAGTTGCCTGTGGAAAAGATGGGACAGGGAAGAAAAAAACAGGAACTGGGGATCTGACATCAGTCTCAACCTTCCAGCACTCAGCTGGGACTCAGCCTCCACCCTGAGCACCTGCCAGCAATTTAGATTGATCTGGCTCCTCGCCTGACCAGAAGCTGCAGAGCTGTGCTGCATCTGCTCTTTCCAATGCCTGCCCCTATAGGCTGGTACCAGGAAGCACTTGGTCAAGGTGCAGGAATTCACCAGCAAATACAGCTGACCTGTTCCACACAGTACCTTGGCATACTTTCCTCCCCATTTTTTTCAAGGACTTGGGTCCATAAGGGAGGGCAGAGCAGAGGCAGTTTCTGGGGCTGGGGTCACTGTGGGATTCCCAAGTGGGGACAGGACACAGGAATTCAGAGGACAGTACAGAACTCAACAAAAGAACAGGAAGGGTAGGGTGGAGCAGCAAGTTCAAGAGTGGGAGTGAAGCAGGATTAATGGAGAGGAGCATCAACTCCCCAACCTTCCCTTCCCAGACACCCTTCTCCTGCCTAGCAATTTGGAGCAGGCCAGAGAAGACAAGAGTCAGCAGTGTCACCTGATGCCACACCATACCCCAGCTGAACCATGTTGACAGCTCATGTCAACATTCTCTTGCCACAAAAGCACTTGAAGGGTATGGGACCCACAAGGAGTGAGAGAGGCCAGATGCTGGCTACAGTAGGCATACATAGGCATTGGCACACTTCTGAGTGAAACCAACAGCGCCCAGGATGAGGGCCTCCTTGGCACCTTCTTTCCTGGACGGAAGCTACAGGTATGCTGGGAAACCTGGCCACCCAAGAGTTACATCATGCTCTGCAAGACTGGCTGCAAAAGAAGCAGGCTCTGGCAAAACTGGGAGGTGTCCTCTGAGTAAGCCCAAGGTTTCTCCAACTGTTCCCGCACCCCACATCTCTCCCAGAGCCACATCCATCTCTGTCCACCCATTACAGACTGACTTTTTCTGATGGGGCACAAGTAGGTACCCACAGAGTGCTCATGGGTTACAGAATCCACTCGGCTCCTTTCACATACATGTCTACTTTAACACAGAAAAAGGAAGAAACCTATTCCTCAACAATGTCTTCTAGGAAGAGAAGAGTCAGATTCCCTGGCAGATGTCACCAGCCTGAGCTTTCCATGAACACACCAGGGAAATTTCACAACGCTGGAAGCAAACAGATCTCAAAGTGCAGCAAATCAAGGGAGCCCCAGCTAGGTGCTCCCAGCCAGCAGCTGGCATTGCAGGGAGGGAGGAGGCAAAGCTCACTGGTGCCCTCTGACCCCTCCAGGGCTTCCAAGTCTGGACAGAGTCAGAATCTCCCCCTTCACTAGGGAGCTGAGTGAGCCCCCAGCTGGAACTGGCAAGGAAGGCGCTTTTGTCCCCACCCACCAAGCACCCTGAGGACACCTCAAAGGTTCTGCCTTCCCCCCTTGTGGGCAGGTCTGAGTGCTATTTCCACTCGATAGATGAAAAATGACAGTCTCAGTAAGGAGAGGTGAGGGGTGGGGCGGGGTGGGGCGGGGCAGGAACACAGCTGAGCTGGCAATGCCCAGTTTGACCCTGTGCTCCCAAAACAGATTGTCCTCGAGGTGCCCACTTGCACTGTCTCCTCCACCAGAATGGAGACTCCTGAGGGATAAACACCAAAAGACAAGCAGGTCGAGGAGTTCTTTCTTTGATCATACTCATTTATATGACCTGACAGGAATCCCCGGAGCGCAGAAGTCAAGTCCCCGCTGTCCCACAGGAAACACTCTCTTCGGTCCTTCTCGTTCACCTCCTGCCTATCGGTCCCAGACGCTCCACAGTAGGCCTCACGGTCAGGACACTGCCCCGGATGGCCCGCCAAGCCTCTTTTCTGGAAGCCGGCGCCATCAAGTCTGCTGGCGGAGGTCAGGAAGGCAAAGTCCCCTTCCGGTGCCGGGTGCCCGCCGCCCAAGGCCGCACCGCCGGCCGCGCCCCCGTGACCAACCCGAAAGCGCGGCCTGGCCGCCGCGACGCACCTGGCGCAGCTCCTCGCGGCACACCGCGCAATATCGCTGTTCGCACAGCACCCGCATCTTGGTAGAGCAGCGGTAGCACACCGGATGGTCGCAGCGGCCCAGCGCCGTGGTCTCCAGGTCCCCGCAGCACAGCACGCAGCTCCCGCCGCCCCTCTCGGGAGCCGCAGTCACCACCTCCAGGGCTGCGCGCCGACAATCGGCGTCTGCAGCCGCCGCCATGGCAAAGATTCCAGCCCCCTCCCGGCCGGCCTGGCGTGGCCAGGCTCCTAGCGGGTACGCCCCTTCCGGGGTGACGTCACCGCCCCGCCCAGCAACGGCCCCGCTCAGCGGAAGTGCACGCAAGATTTTTGCCCCAGAGGGGCACCGGTTCAAGTAGCACTTTTGGCACCGAGCGCTCTAGTCCTAGCGAACTTCGCGGAGGTCTCCGGCTCGTCTCTCGGGAGACCCTTTTCTTGGGATGCCCTCTTTTTCTGCGGCTCCATCCAGGAGTACCATGCAGTAGGGTTGCCTGTGTCAAAATTTGTAAGAGAACTCAACCTAGACAGGAATTGAGAGGGCCTGTAGGAGGCGCTCTCACATCCTATGTCAGGAAAGTCCTACAGGATGAGCTCTAGGGTAACAACAGAGCTCTATGGTCGGGTCAGCCCTTCTCTTAACTTCCTGTGCCACTTTATAAAGTTCTTTCTCCATCTTTCTTACAGTTGGATTGTACTTGTGGCTCATCGAGTCTCTGGGTTCTGAGTTGTAATCCTTTTTTTTTCCTGAATAAATCCTTTTTGGATGATAAATATGTGGTCGACTTTTTTACCCACCAACTTTGGGGTCTCGCTCGGAATCCAGAAAAGAAACCCGATAGCTCCGGACTGGGGGGCAAACAGGTGATGGCGCCCACAGAGCTGTCTTAAGTTCGCCGTCTCTTCCCCAACTCCGGAGCTGGAAAGGGCGTCTTCTCTTGGAACTGAGCCTCCGCTTCTGGTTCTGAAGTTCTCCAAGATTCATTCGGGAACTGTTTTGAATTTTTTGTTTTGTTAAAGGGCCTTGTTTGTGAGCTAGTTTGGCGTTCTGGTCAGACTCTAGGGGGATCAGGCTGCTAATGGCGGCTGCACTGTTAGCCTGTGGCTCGTCTCTTCCTAGAGCAGGCTGTTTCCACTGAAGAACTGGCTTTTAGTCTTTGTGGAAACACCGTGATCAAACTGTTCTGAAGTGATAATGGCTAGTTTTTAACATGCAAGTTGCTCGAGCTGTTTTAGACTGTTTTGAGCCCTTGCTCTAGAGAAAAAGCTCTGAAAATGGGGTCTCAGTTTAGATCTAAATATTTTCAGAACGACCCTCCTAAATGCACTTTGCCTAAAATTGTGTTTAAAAGCCACAGTCTTTATGTGCATGTCTTAAAAACAATTTTATTCATTTATTTTTTCTTTTATTGATTATGCCATTATAATTGTCCTATTCCCCCCTTCATTCCTCTCCACCCTGCACCCCCCACCCCTACCATTCCCCCCCTTTAGTTTGTGACCATGTGTCTCAAGTTCTTTGGATTCTATATTTCCCATACTATTCTTGCCCTCCCCTATTTTCTACCTGCCATCTATGCTACTTATTTTCTGTACCTTCTCCCCCCTTCTCTTCCTCCCACTCCCCTGTTGCTAACCCTCCATGAGATCTTCATTTCTATGGTTCTGCGCCTGATCTAGCTGTCCTTTTAGCTTGCTTTTCTTTTGGATGTGGTTGTTAATAACTGTGAGTTTGCTGTCCTTTCACTGTTCATCTTTTTTATCTTCTTTTTCTTAGATAAATCCCTTTAACATTTTATATAATAAGGGCTTGGTGATGATGAACTCCTTGAATTTGATCTTATCTGAGAAGCACTTTATCTGCCCTTCCATTCTAAATGAAAGTTTTGCTGGATAGAGCAATCTTGGTTGTAGGTCTTTAGATTTCATGACTTGGAATACCTCTTTCCAGCCCCTTCTTCCCTGTAAGGTCTCTTGAGAAATCAGCTGACAGTCTGATGGGAACTCCTTTGTAGGTGACTGTACATCTTGGCTAATGTAATTATGATGTGCCTTGGTGTGTTTCTTCTTGGGTCCAACTTCTTCGGGACTCTGAGCTTCCTGGATTTCCTGGAAGTCTATTTCCTTTGCTGGATTGGGGAAATTCTCCTTTATTATTTGTTCAAATAAGTTTTCCACTGGTGGCTGTTCCTTTTCCCCTTCTGGTACCCCTATAATTCGGATGTTGGAGCATTTAAAGATGTCCTGGAGGTTCCTAAGTCTCTCCTCATTTTTTTGAATTCTTGTTTCTTCATTCTTTTCTGGTTGGTCATTTTTTTTCCTCCTTCTGGTCCACTCCTTTGATTTGAGTCCCAGTTTCCTTTCCATTACTATTGGTTTCCTGTGCATTGCCATTCATTTCAATTAGCCTTCATATGTTCCTCTAATTGGTGACTAAAATCAACCAGTTCTGTGAGCATCCTGATCACCAGTGTTTTGAACTGTGCATCTGAAAGTTTTGCTATTTCTTCATCACTTCGTCACTTAGGCTCTGGGGCTTTGAGATCTTCTTGAGCCATTTTTGGTCTGTTCGCGTCCATTAAGTATGACGAGCGGAGCCTTAGAGGCAGGGCGGGTCCTCCAGGGCGGGTTGCTGGGTTGTGACGCTGTATGTGGGGGCGGGGTCAGAGTGGGGAAATGGCGGCCCTCTCTGCTGCCTCCTATCGCTGGGACCCGCTGGGTCCCATCTCACTGCACACTCCCTCGCTGGTTTATCTGCGCAGGAATTCACCAGCACAGTCAACCCACAGCCCTTCACCCTCGCCGGATCCACTGGTCGCTCACTGGGTCGCGCTCACTAGGTAGCTCACTGGGTTGGCCCTTTGCAACCCCACACCTGGGATCCACGCGCCTGAGTTCATCTGACCGAGTTTTCCTGTGCAACCCCGCTCTGCCAGCTGCTGGCTTTTGCCCCTCTTACCGATCAGGCTGAAGTATTCGGTGTTATCAGACTTCGGAGAAGTTCAATTTTCTGTGTTCTGGCTATGTTTTCTGTTGCTAATATTTTGTCTCTAAACTTGGTTGTGTGAGAAAGCACGGCATCTCCACCTATGCCTCCATCTTGGCGGAAGTCCTTATTCATTTATTTTTTAGCGAGGGGAAGGCAGAGAAAGAGGGAGATAAACATCAGCCTCTGGTTTCCCCTTGCGCGGGCCCGCTATTGGGGACCTTGCCTGCAACCCAGGTATGTGCCCTGACTGGGAATCCAACACGTGACCCTTTGGTTCACAGTCTGGCTGCTGAGCCACACCAGCCAGGGCTTTATATGCATATTTAACTGAATGGACTTCTCTGACCAAAAGTCATATGGAGTATCAATGGCCATTGTGAGGAACCTTTGAGATTCCCAAACGAATCGGACAATCCTAGAGCTAAAATTGGCAAAGATAAATGCAGTGCCTATTTCGAATGGCACCTTTTCCCTTCAAATGTTATGAGAATCCGAAGTTGCCTCACTGCAAGAAAATTTTAGAACGGGTATCCAACCTACAGACCATGGGCCACATGTGGCCTAGGATGCCTATGAAGGAGGTCCGACACAAAATCGTAAATTTACTTAAAACATGAGATTTTTTTGTGATTACGTGTCACAATGTCACATAAAATAAATGTACGTACGCTTCTGCTATTTGTACACATGCCTTCAATTTTATGGCAGTGCAGCTTGCAGTGTGTTATCTTACAGGCTCAGACAGAATTGACATCAGATGTTATATGTGCTCGTGACTTAGTAGGGCAGCAATTATCAATAATATCTCAACCTGTCATTGCAATGCTAGACATTTAATGTTATTTAGAGTCATGTAAGCATTCTTACTTGTTAAAGGTATTTCCACACCTTGGCGGTGTCTCACACATCACCTGCAATGCTTTACAATCGGCGTGTTCCTCAACCTGCATCAGCAGCCAAGAGGGCTATAGAATGGACCAAACCTTGCTTTCTATTTTCCTAGGTATTAATTTCCTGTCAGTTTTTCCTAGGTAAAAGTAAATAAAGTCCCTTATCTATTATTATTATTTTTTAATCCCAGGAGGCTTCTAGAGCATGTCCAAACCAAAAAGAACCCCAAAATGAAAAATCACAGATGAAGGAAGATTGTTCAGTGAAAACTGTACAGATGACTGTTTTGTTGAGGTACATAGTAAGGCATTTTGCTTTATTTGTAGGGAATTTGTGCAAGTTTTCAAAGACTATAATTTGAAAAGGCATTATATGCAAAAACATGCTGCCAAATTCAATGTGTAGGAAGGATTGTGTTGTAAGGACAAAATAGCAGAACTGAAAAAAGTCTTCTCAACAAAAATTTTTTCAAAAACAGTTCGGGTGGATTCCATGATAAAAGCTAGTTCTGTGGTAACATATTTATTTTTCTTTTTACTTTAAAAAACAATTTTATTTATTTATTTTTAGAGAGGGAGAGAAACATCGATGTGTGAGAGAGATGTCAACCAGTTGCCTCTCACACGCCCCCTACTGGGGACCTGTCCCACAGCCCAGGCATGTGCCCTGACTGGGAATCAAACCAGCCACCTTTCAGTTCAACCGCAGGTGCTCAGTGCACTGAGCCACACCAGCCAGGGCTGTGGTAGCATATATAGTAGCAAAAAAATCAAAATCATTTACTGATGATGAGTTTATTAATATATAAAAAATGTGGCAGATATAATTTGCCCTAAAAAAAGGGGGGGAGTATATTTCTAAAATCAGTTTGTCTCACCAGACTATAGCCAGGAGAACTGAAGAAACTGGAAAATTTATCAAAAGAAGCTTGGAGAGTAAAGCTGCTAATTTTAAGTTTCATGCTTTGGTGATGGGTAATAGCATTGATGCTACAGATGAGGCTCAACTTGCCATTTTCATTGGAGGGATTGATGATGAATATACTGTAACTGAAGAAACGGCTTTTTTAATGTCATTAAAAGACACAA